ACTGTGTTTGATATTACAGACCAAAGTGCCTTAGTTAATGGGAAAATGTTACCCCACTAATTCTGTTTTAGTGAAATATTCTGTTATTGGTCAAAGCAACTAAACTAATTGATATCAGAGTTATTTTAAACAGTTGGTGAATGTAAAACTCTGTGCAAGTACAGTAGACTTGGAGGTTTTTTCTGTGATAAAATTGGGATAATATTTGCATCTGCAGGCATTCAAGTCAGCCTTGAATAGAGAGACATGCAGACATATACTTCACTAGTTAAACAAAATTTATTGACCTACTGTAGCAGATATAATGTAAAAATAATTTTTCACAGTCCTATAAACTTTGATGTGGCTTGAAGTATCTGTTTCCCTTGTCTGACTCAGCAGTTCAGGATGAAATGCAGGACGGTGTCTCTTAGATAAGCTGATTATTTTGCAAGACATTTGTATTGGCTTTGTCCTTGATATTCCAAAGTAGAACAAAGTTGCATGATTAATTTTTATGCGGTGTAACTGCAATTTCTAGCTCTTCAGCTCTCATTCTTCATTTTGGGATGTTACTGAAAATGGCTGTGGTGCCACAGGATAAATAATTACTAAAGCCTGCTTGGAATTGGGTAAGTGAGCCATACTGGCAGCAAGCAGAGCAGTAAAGAGGAGTGTTTTTCCTTACTTTACTCCCAGGCTAAAATTAAACAGACTTAGATATTTCCACACTTAGGGATTTACAATCCATCTGCTTTGAGTCAGCCAGCAGAAATTTACTTTTATATACTTTTATAAAATAGAACTCTTCACTTTGGTATAATATGCAGTTCTGCATTTTTATAGTGTGCCTTAGTGAAAATGCCCTTCAAAACAGTAAAAAAAAAATTTAAAAAATTCTTCTCTCAGGTATAATTTAAAATAATTGGATACTAAATGAACGATACTAAATCAACCTGTTAGCATTTATATATCATTCATGTGTCCTGAGACATCTAGGAGTCATGAGTGCTCAATGCTAAAATAATTCATGGTCCAATTTATATAGCAAGATGGTGTAATATTTTTAAGTTAGTTACTGAAAATATACAAAACTTGTCAGAATTAGATTTTATTGTAAGTCATTCCATTTGTTCATATTTGTGATCCCTCCCTTACAGAAAATGTACATTAACTGAAACTTCAGTTTACTGTAGAGATTTTGAAGTTCATTTTACTGGAAATAACAATAAGGTGTATTCAGATACTACATACGTAGCAGAATTTGGTAAAAGTTCTTCTAGGCTGGTCCTTTGCTGTTGTAAAAACTCATTTTCAGGTGCATAAATCACAAGTTTATTTATTGCCTGTTCTTCCTAGTAATTTTTTTCTCCATATTGTTGGGAGAAACAGTAATGCAGTTTACTCATTCACAAAGTTTGTGCATCTCCAAAAAGCATTTTTTGCCAAGGGTTGCCACCTCCCTTCTCCTTCCCAAAGTGCTCCTTCCCTGTTCCCTGTACATTCCTCTTTCATTGTCCTGCTTCCTTCATCCTTTTCTTGTGTCTCCTTGATAGCTGAGGCCCTTTCTTATTTTTTCTTGGCTGAACATTCCTCAGCTCCACAGCTCTACTGCTGGACTCTGCCGTATTTCACCCATCCTGCCTTTCCCTCTGGCTCTGTTCTTTGCAGCTATGTCCCTAGGGTGGGTGTCCTTTTCCACCTCACCAGAAGTGTACCATGTTCCCTTTTTCCCCCACTTTTTCCCCAGGTTTCTATGGAGAGAGCCCCAGGCTGGTGACCCCTGTCCTCCCTGCCTCTCCAGCAGCCTGTGCTCAGCCCTCCAAGTGGGAGGAGGTGGCAGCAGGACCAACCCCCAAGCAGGAGGCCCCAGTTATCTTCAGCAGGCCCCCGTCCCTTGGGAAGAAAAGTGCTGTTGTTACAGCTGTCATCATCCAAGGGGACTTGTCAGGAAGCTCATCCACAGGACAAGAGTGCCAAGCATTGCTGTGCTCTGCTGCCTTCCCTTCGTCGTCCTCCTCTGCCTGACTGCAGTCTCCCCATCTTGTATTCCTTCAGGAGAGAGTGGGAATTTGTGAAGGAAGGAAATTATTTGCCCAAGCTGAGCCTGGCAAATGATACCATGACTCAGGAAATTATCAAACATTAAAGATTACACGGTGTTGGGTCCAATACTTATTTTTCAAATCTGTTACTAGATAGATGTAATAGATAACTCTGGCCAGAACTGAGATCTGGAAAGGAAACCCTAGTATGCTATGGGACTAAGGTCTGCTTTTTTTCTGAAATGTAAATTTAATTAAAAGGAGAAAAGGGGAGGGGAAGAAAAGAAAGTTCTCCACAGTCTTAATGAAATCCAGGGAACTCGAGCATTGCATTTTGATGGAGACAGAATAGCAATTAATTTTTTTTTTAGGCGTGTGAGGAATTTGCTGCCAGCTTCAAGCTTGAGCCTCAAATCAGTGAGAACTTCCTTAAAAACTGGGGAGGATTCTTATTCCTTGACATGAAAACAGGAGGCAAATTGAGAAGCTTTTTTCCTTAGATATTTTTGAAGAAAGCTGTTACGCAGATAACAACTTTACATAGGTGATTAAACTGCCCTTAAATACAGTGGCTGAGTAGCAAACACAGCAGTGAATTTCAGTAATTTAGTGTGACAGAAGTGACTTAGTAGGAAGCCAAGGTTACCTGACAGTCACATTGAAAAGCAAATAATGCAACTCTTTATCTGAGTACTTCTACTGGAGGTTTTTTTGTTTGCTTGTTTTGTTTTATTTTTTTATATAGTAGGCACAAACTATCAAAACACAAGTGGAAAAGTGTTGCTATTTGTGCTGGCTTAGTGTAGAATTTTATGGGATTGTGCTAGTGTTGACTTAATTGAAGGGAAAGGAGAGCTTCAGTTCAAAGATCGACTTAATTGTATTGAACTTCTCAGTTGTAGCTATTTTTTTTCAGTAATCAAGAAACTGTGTTCAGTTAGTAGAATGATGTGCTACGGTAACACCGTATTTCTCTTTTCAGGAGTCTGCTAGAAGTGTGGGATTTTCTGTTGACTTTGTCTATAGGCTGCTTTTGTGCTGCACTCATTGGGAGGTCTGTCTCCCACTTTTCATATCACATGTATATTAAACCTTTCATTAAGTATTGCTGACAACAGGCAGTGTTTCTTAAAGATGCAGGATTCTTTTATGTTGGCACAAAAGTATCTGATAAAAGATAGTGATTGGAGCATATATTTTATCAATCCTCTGTTACCTTTTGTTTCCTTTTTCTAGTTTCCTGCACATCCTGCCACAAGGCATATTCACTGCTCTTATTTGCATGTTACCCCTTAGTGTTTGACATTGGCTTTTCCTTTAACTGCAGATTTATTCTAAGGTTTATTACCGACATTTAAAACCTTCAGCTCACATGGACTAGTCTGTGTATAGGAGTTCCTCGCAGTGTGTGTTCCAGCTCCAAGCCTGGGCTGGCAGATGATTTATGTTTGTGTATTTCTTGACTGCCATTTTCCCATTGTGCTCATCAGGCTTTGCTTGTGTCACCCCAGGTTGGTGGGTCTTCTGCCATTTGGAATTCAGCTGGTTTCAAAATTTTGTTATATACAATAAACTCATAACTTATATTTTTTTAATTAATTTCCCATTTACAGTTTTGCTGATGTGTCTTTTGAGGCACATGTTTTTACTGTTTTTTGGAGAGTACATTGAATTGTGTCAAGCTTTCTGAATGTATTTGAATTTATTATTAAATTCAGATTGCTGCATAATTACATAGTATACCACAGAGTAAATGTAGTATATATTGCTTTTAGAAACTATGATTCTTGGTATTACAGGACTACTGTAATTCTGTGGAATTTGTTTGTTGCCAGGATCTTCCAGTAACCAGGATTTATATTTTAAATTTATTTTGTTATTTATTTCATTATTTATTTTATTAATTTGTAGTAAAATTGCAAAACTTATGTAAAAAGATAACTACCTACTACTACTTGCTGCACTTTTTCAGTATAGTTGATGCCTTTGTATTCCATTAACCCATTTGCTTCTGAGTTGTACAGCTCTGTAATTATGTTCTGCTGCAAAAGATACATTATCTGTACTCTTAGAAAAAAAAGCCTCACCAATGTAAAATCAGATTTTTAATGCAGGTTTAATGGAGATTATGCTCAATAGATGGAGTTTTAGTGTGCATGCTTTGATGCATATGCTAACATTTCTGGGAACTGACATAGTTTTTCTCCTATTTTGAGCCTTAACATTTTCCATGTTAGTTTTTCTTTGGGAAAATTTCTTCAAGAAAATTAGAAGTTTACTTCTAAGAAATAAAGTAGCCATGTCTTGTAATCCTAGGTCCTAGACTGTGAGATTTAAAGAAAATAAGACATATTGTAAAGATTAAGAAAATATTAAGAGCTCACAGTACGGAGGCCAGTGTTGTCAGTTAAAAAATTTGCCTTATTTTGCCTAACTCATCCTCTAAAGAATATTCATGATCATATTTACATGAAAAATGTTTATCCTCAGCTTTGGGTAGAGCTAGTGTAAAGTAGGCCTGTCTTTATTAAAAGAACTCACTGTCCTAGACCATGGGGGTTTTTTAATTGAGGTTATGGGGAGTGCATTATATTCTTCTGTATTTGTGTCAAGGGTCTTATTGACTCATTTTTGCAGAGTGTTAATGTTGGCTGAGAATTTGAGGGGAGGTGTTGTGTGTATTCAGTTACACAAGCACTTTTGTGAAAACAAGCATTTTTCTTGACAAGAGCTTGTAATTGACAAAATCAAAATGTAAGTTGCTGCATTATGAATGCATATCCCTAACACTGGTAGTGCTGCTGAGTTTCTCACTTTGAATATGTTATTGAAGTTCATGCTTTAAGTATTATTATTTATTATATATGTAGTCCAATCCAAACAAAAGTCTGCATAAAAGATGTGCAAGAAAATGGAATATATATGAGATTTCTGAGCAGGTAGTTTACATTCTTTTCTCTTTTTTGTGTTGTGCAGGTGCTGTTCTCTTGTCCAGTGTACAAGGATTAGCAATTAATGTTGATCCAGTCCTGTATACATGGCTTATCTACCAACCTCAGAAACGAGTTAGTAGACACATTCAGCAGGTATGTATTTTTGGAGAAAAAGGGATGGGAGGAGGGGAAGCTTTCACTTCTATATATGCCAGTAGTGTATTTTTGTAAGTGTTTGCAGTTTGTTACCTCTTCCTTGTAATTTGTTGCATGTATTGTTGATCTTATTTTGAATTATTTAAAATGTGAAGTTAGCATATTAAAATTTTAATTTCACAACTTTTTCATTTTTAATTATAAAAACAAAGAAGGTGGGTTTGTGATCACCTTCTAGGATCATTATTTTGCAATTAATTTTAACTACTGAGACCTCACAAGCCTTGAGTCTGTGTAGTACATCATATTTTAAAATTTGGGATGGGCTGTCAAATAATTACATAACTGGTTATAAAGTCAGCACTCCTGTTAAACCCCATTTTAATAGGAGATGAACCATACAGTTCATAACTTGACAGAAGTGAATGCTGTAGCAGATTCTGTATATCATGTCAGAATACCTATTTGCATATGATGTGCTTGAAAAAGATAGAAGAAGCTAAGGCTGTGGGTCTGTGTGGTGCAATGGTTTCCTTGATATATTCTTAACCCTAGTTTTCATGCCATACATTCCTGACTGGAAAAGAACACTGTTTTTGCTTTATACTAAACTTACTTATAACTGCTACTTGGCAGAATTTCCTAAAACTTAAATTTGTTGTAACTGATCAAACTGGTGGTTTATGTCACCAGTGATGTTCTGTCTCACTTATAAGTGGTCAGTTATGAAATGACAAATGTTAAAATTTTTCAATATTAGTCTCATAACCATAGAACACTGTGCACATCAGAGAAGTTTCATTCTGGGCCCCTGAATTGAGAGGATAAACATGACTTGTAAACATTTGTTTCTCGTGTCCAATTTACCTTGTTAGGTAGTAATTGCCAAACATTTATTTGAGTCCCATGGAGCTCATTCTGCATGAGCATCTGAAAAGTTTCACTGTGACAATGAAGCTTTATTATTGTTTTAATGAATTTATTCTGTTTTTAAATGTATTGACTTATTCTTCATTCCTGCATCATAACTGGAGCAGCACAACATTTCCTGGTGCATGTCTTTTGCAAAACAAGCCATTCATCTACTTTTTACTGTTATGTAGCCTTCCAAAACGTAATCAATGCTACTTAACCTGCTTATTTCAAATGTTTGTATAAAAATCTGTCTCTAACATCAGTGTATTTAATCAGCTGTTAGTGAGTGCTTTCCCTTTTGATACTGGGTGACTAGATGAGTTAAGTGGCTGTATTAGGAAACTCATTTGTCCCTGGTTTTGATCATCAGTGGCAAATTTTTTAGCCAAATTTTGTTTATTTTCTAACTCGTGTCATTACCTCATACAGACTTTTAAATTTTTTCATCATCTATTTCAGATTAAAATTACAGTATCACAATTCTAATGCTATTAGCATTTAAAATGTCTTAGCAGTTTGAAATTATTTTAAATACAAGTTTATAAACTCAACTGTCAATGTCATACCATTTTCATCCTTAACATGACTGTGGTAATGGACTGCATGTAATAATACAAATTAAAGTGTCTGTAGCAGTCATGAGGAAACTTTATTTGAAAAGAAAACTAACTGTAATAAATTATGCTGATCCACAGACTTTTTTCTTTGTGTAATGCTGTAATTATCCTAGAATAAGGATTCTAGTTAAAGTTAGGCCCCATGCCTTATATTTTGGAAAAATTCAGCTTGTTACCATAGTCTAACCTGAGTAATAAACAAAAATGCTCTATAAAACCTTCCTAACTTTTGAACACTTAACAGCTGTAAGATGCAATGCTTTCAAGCAAGAGTTATGGGCAAAATGTATTCATTGGTGAGGTTCTTATCTTCCACTGTTCTGTCAGTCTTACACGATTGTGACAGAAAAAAGAAGAAAATACTTCCTTTAGAAATTCCTTGTATGATTCAGAGATCTTAAATATTAAGATATTTTAAGTTTTAATGTCTACTTAATATAATGCTTTTGCTCTGTCATTTTGAGTAAGTCAAAGTTGTGACTTCTATCTGAAAACACAGAGTTAGAAAACCTTTCAGTACATTTGGCCCTGTGTACACAATAATGTTAGTACTTGATGAAGTAAGTTAAATGAATGTATTAATTTACTTCAGTGCAACTATAGTCATGTAAACTTCTGGTATACAGGATGGGGCTGGCATTGTCTGGCTCCCCACAGGGATGGGACACCTTTACATAGGAACTTCCTCACTTTTGTTTGCTTTTTAACTATTTTTCTGGGATTTTAGGTTTAGTTTTATAATGCCAATTTGGTAGAACATGTATTTTATATCTGCTGAAATATTCACCATATCTGTTGCAATTGCTTTTAACTGAAAGTTAGAAATATGAAACACAATAAGCTGCATTTTTACAAAGCTCATAACATTTCAATGTCTTTTTGGCCTCACTGACATTTTATTTAGCTGGAACAGAATGATGGCTGACTGCCTTGCTAGGGTGTGGGGGTACATGCAGCCCAGTGAGGATCACCCCTCTTCATTTATTACTGCTGGACTGTTGCTAGAGAAAGCTCTCTTTGCATCTTGCTGCTCAGCAGCTAATAATTGTAGAACTGGCGTGATAAGCAAGGCCATTGTGTCGATATTAATTTTTAAGAATATTTTAGTCTGTATGGATTGTTTGTGTAAAATGAGCTGTAGATGTAGTGACATGCAAACTGAGAGTAGTTTGTGGACCAGTTGTTTATCTGCCTAAACATCTTGTGTTTCTTCAGTCTGAATGTCCTGTTGAGAAGGTAAATTCTTTATAAATACTATATGAAAGATTACTTTGGCCAGAATTTGGCCAAAAATTTGGAAATTAATAATTTGGAAATTAATAGAGCTATGAAGTGAGTTCTTGTATTCATGCTGTTCATAGCTTGTTAACAATTACTCCCAAATGAAAAGCAAAACAAAGCCAAGTTTAGAGGCCTTATTTCCAGTAATTTAATATTTTATTTTGACATTTTTTGGAAGATTTTTTGATGTGAGTCTTGTGGCAGCAAGGCCTTGTTTCTAGTAATTTTTAGGTGTTCTTTAATGTATTATTATGACTATTTTTAGAGACTTTTCCCGCTGTGACTTGTTTTATTTTTGTAAACCAGTGCTTTTTTGCATATATTTGCTCTCTTTTAAAAGCCCATTTTAAAACCCATTTTTATTGCAAGATAAAAATTTGAAGAGTTTCTTTTCCTTGGTAAGAAGCCTTAGCTGTACTTTGATATGGGACAGTCAGTATATGTGATACTTTTTGCAATACATTTATAAATGAGTACATGTCATCTTTCTCAAACTCATGTTAATGTAAAGCCTTTGTAACTTGTCAATACTTTTCTTACATCATTGATTTCTGTGAGCTAAGATGAGGAATTTTAGGGGGAAAACTGAACTACCAAAAGTATGTACACATAGATACGTAACATTGATTTTTATTGCTCATATTTTTGTCCATTTTTTTGGTTGCTCCATACATGTTCATGTGTTACTACCTAATTTAAGGAACATTTCAGTAACAGAGTAGATCTAAACCCAAGAGGTCAGGGTAAACATTCTTAGTCATATATAGAAACAACCAAGAGAAAGATATTGCACTTCTTCCAGATTCATCATGCTTTAAAACACTGGAATGTAATACACCTGATTTCAGAATCCAGATTTCTCCTTTTCATGAACATCTGCACCATGGAAGACTGTGTATCCCAATTCAAACCCAAGAATTTTTCCTCAGCTGTGTAGGCAGATTAAAAAATCAGTCATTAACAACTTTTTTGTTTCTTCAACTCTGCTTTTTCTCTGCTCGTTTTCTCTTTACCATTATCTTAGGAATTTTACTGTTATAAAATCCTTTTACTGCTTTATGGAAAGGTCATCATTAACGGAGGGTGATATCAATCTTGATGGTGTACTTCAGGTGGTACTTTGTTCAGAAGTCTGCATCAGAGATCTCCCTGGAATTTTTTACTAAGATGAAATAATTTTATTGTTATGACTTGATCAATAGACTCTTATAGAACAAGTAGATCCTTTAAATTGTTCTGTCTTAGAATGACTTTTGGAATATTGTACATACTTGATGCTTTAAGAGCCAAATAATGATAATTATTTGATTCTGATAATGTGTGGCAATGAATGAATGACAGCATGTAAAAGGAAGTTTCAGTACCCAAATTTAGGATTATTCCATGTTGCAGCAAAGTTGGATGTTGGAGGCAGTGCTGTGTTGCCTCATTTTTCTCTTTTACTGTGAAAAAATAGCTGGAAATGCTTTGATAAAGCAAGCATGTTTCTATAGTAAACACAGTTATCTTCTTGATGTGCAGACTTCTCAAATTATAATAGATATTGATTCCTGATATTGCTTGCAGGTCAGAAACACTGTATTTATCCTTATTGGGATCTGTCCTGTCTTACGCTATGGAAGGCACTTAAGTTTCTGAAGGATACAGAAATCAAGTTGCTTCTTGCTTAAGGAGGTAGAGCTACATAGAACTCAAACCTTCTATCTTCTGCTTTTAGAAGCCCCTTGAACCTGCTGATGGAATGCTTTCATCAGTTGGTGAAAATGAGGGGTTTGTTGGCTGACACCAGTCCATCACATAGGTTTGGAAATATTTGGAATCAATCATCAGTCTTTGATGTCAGCAGAACACTTTTACAATACTTGAAGTGCCTACCTGAGGCAGTCATAGAATTTCATCTGAATTAACCTGCCAGGAAATAAGGTGGTTTTGTGCGCCAAAAGCAAGTCTTTTTACTTAGCAATTAATTTTAATTAAAGCAATTTTGTTAATTTGTTTAATTTTAATTTGGAACTAAGCCTAATGCCTTGCTTTGTTTGAACTCTCTGAAACAATTTAGGTGTACTAGTAATCTTAGAAATGAAAACAATTAATATGACTGGATAGACAAGCAGCAATTGCATTTTAATGTCATTAGAACTTGTTGCAAGGTAGACAGGGTGGATCCTCCTTGCTGTCACAGTTCATTCTGGTACAGTTTGGACAGTCATGTAAGCTAATGTAAATATTCTTTTCTGAGCTAGTGATTGCTTGACAGTGATCTTAGATGTTCAATAAACACCATGTCTTGAGCAGAACTGCCATCTGTCTCCACTCCAAAGACTTCATTGATTTTTCTTCCTGCTTGCTGGTTGCAAGCTGCTGCACATGTAAACATCGGTCCATGCGCATGCAGCATCCTCCGTGTGGGATATCTGGGTGTAGTACCATGTCAAGGACAGCAACTCAGCTCTGGGCTCAAGCTTTTGAACTTGACATTTCCCAACACAGTGATAATATTTTGGTTCCTATCTTGGAATGTTCTTTTGCCTTTGGTTTGATATCAAACAAATGGAGGTATATATGTATATCCCTTGAATGAAAGTTATTAATCTGCTCAGTTGTTCAAGTTTTCATAAAACTCATTTCTCATGCTCCCAGATCTGCCTACAGTCCCTTCAGCCTCACATATATGTGGGAAACTAAAATTCAGAAATAATATATTTAATTTCAAAAAATCCCAAGGAAAATAAAATATTAATTCACCTAAGGCAAATTAATCCTCTTTATAGATATTTTACCTTTAGTTAGTTGGCATGTCTCCACATAAATCAGGAAATACTTGGCCTGTTGTATTTCTGGGAAACTGTGTTTCAGCTATTATTCTTCTGAGCCTTTCTCTGGTTTTAGATCTTTATAATTTCCAAAGTTATGTTGACCCTATAGTATGAAGTAAAAAAAATTAAAAATTGGTATCTGTTGATCTATTTGCATGTTTAAACAGTATATATGTGTGTGTGTGTTTTGTGTACACATACTTAACACAGTATGTAATGTGTCAGATTATTTGTGCCAATAAAAATTAAATTTAGAAAAAGGTTGCTTTTCTGTAGTTTTTCAGTCACTGCTTACAAACCTAATGGTAATAATTACATTTGAAAAGTGGCAACCGTTCTTATTTTGAATTCTGTGAATTGTTATTATTTTAGTATTCCGTATATAATTGCCACAAACTTTATTGCATTGATAAAACTGTCAGTATTCTAGAACAGAATCTGATTTGACTTTGTGTCAACAAAACAGTCTCATATAAATTTCATATAATAAACTGACTTTACCATGCTGCTGTAGTTCCAGAAATTTGTTACATGTTCTTGATCTTCTGTAACACTACCAATTAGTGACCCAATCTTAATCCCAAGTAGGTGTATTTAAGCTTTACTACATCATCCTTTATAGCTGGCTTTTTGGATTCTTGTGATGAAATGCTTATGATACCACTAGCCTGCAATGTTTCCTTTCCCATCAGATTCATCTTCTCCTACAGCTGTGGGGCTCTTGTCATCTGCTATTTCCCAAGCCACAGTTCCCTCATCAGTTTGTGGCTAAACCCCAAATCTTGATGATCCTTTTCCATCTAGTTCAACACTGATCTTTCATCTTCTGGATTCTTTTAACCGGAAATCTTTTGCCAAAAACCTGACAAGATTGTACTGGGCGTCATCAGCAGCAACATCAGGCTTGATTTCAGTGAGCAAAGATAAAACAGCTGCTTCATTGTCCAGATCTACACTCAATATTTGGTCATAATTTTTTCCAGCTTTATCTGGCTCTGATAGCCTTGATGTTTTTCACTCTTTGTCTAGTAGTGTAACTTACTACATTTTGCTGATCCATTTCTTAAGTGGTTCAGAAATTGATACAGCTTCTTCATGCAGTATTTCCATCCTATTGTCTTTTGGACTGTCCTGTATTGTCAGCGTTAATTCTTCAGAAATTCTTGCTTCACTTTGGCAATTCAGTGTTCTTGCAGGTTACATCCAGAATTGCCAAATCATGATTCAACAGTTGCTGTCATGAAAAAGCTGCAGATGGCTATACCTTATGAAAGTTGTATCAGATAAATTGTAAGATTTTGAAAATAAGTGATGTAAAATGTCTGAAGAAAGTTTACAAAATTTCAGATCCTCTCCCTGTATGCAAGCAGGAAGTATTTCTGTGGTGCCAAGGTTGTCTTTTCAAAGCTGATGGGGATTTTTATATTGTTGTTATAACTGGAGGGTATGCCAAGGTAGCATGTTACTGTATTCTAGAAAAACTTTTTAGTGTTTCTGGAGTCAAAGCTAATGACTGTACATTAAGAGGGAGGAGGACAAATGAGAGTTCTGTTTGTCATTGAAATTAGTATTTTTCTACTAACTTTGCATACCACTGTATATATAAATTGCTTTCAGTGGAGTAGGATTAAATAGTTGATTGTCTTATTTTAATTTACTTTTATAGTGGAAAATGGTGAAGGCGTTTGGAAGCCATTCTCCTTCAATTAAATGATTCTTCTGTTTGTTTTGGGGTTTTGTATGTGTGCACATATTGCACACTGCTTGATTCAGTGATCTGTTTTCTATTGGAGAAAATTTACAAGCACATTGCCCGCCTCACACGAATTTGTTTCCCACAGAGATTCCTAATGCAATGTGTGAGGTTTCTCATTACGCACTTATATGGATTACATTTTCACTCCAACACGAACAAAATTAAATTACACAAAAATTAAAATGCGTGTAATCCTAATGTCTGATCTTCAGAAAAAAACTTTGTCATCTTTAAATGATAACCGTCTGCAAAATCAGTGGTAGAGATATTCTGCTTTTGTCAACTGGGATGCATCTGCAATTTACATAGCAGCTGATGTTACAGCAAAATGTTAACTTAAAATGTTAATAGCCAACTGTATAACAACAATGAGGATCAAATTGTTTTTAATAATTTTGTCTTTTCTTGCTTGCATTAATAAAAAAAGTAACAACAAAGCAGATAGACTATTCATTTGTTCCAGAATCCATGTGGATTAATACACATCACTCTTTTCTAATCTGAAAATAAGGATGCAGTCCTTCAAACTTTGTTTTAATGCCTACAGTTTTGTATTTTTGTATATGTCAGCAGTTTCACATTTTGAGCTGCATCTCATTTGCTGATATGCTTGAAAGTCACAACAGTTCAAAATGAATAACAGTTACTTAAATCTTATATTTAAAATTTGGAAGAAGCACGATTGTGTAGAAATACTAATACATCCTTTATTTTAATTACGGTTAATAAGTGCTGTTGGGTCTTCATATCTGGTTAAAATTTTCCAGTTTCCATTAAGCACTTAGATAATTATTTTACTTTGGTCATCAGCCAGGTTTATGCCTATGGTTTTTGGTTCGCTAACAACCATGGTACTCTAAGTTAGTTTTATTTCATTTTTTTGTTTTCATAGAGCTTTTCCTCAGACTAACAGGACTGAAATAAAGAATTACAAGTGCAAATCTGAATGTAGCATCTCATTTCAATTTGTTTTCAAAATATTTGTGCTCCAACCAGTGTTTCAGGTTGTCTTCTATACAATTCCAAATATGTAGTTTAAAACACGTTTCTCAAGACAATGCCATAATTCTATGTTAATATGTTTTGAGTTTTTGTGGTTCACAAGGTACTTCTTTTTTTCTAGCAGTCTGTAGGAGCTGTTCCACTTGGTGTGTCAGTAACTCGAAAGAAAGAGGATGAAGCATCAGTTGGAAGTGCACCTTTGGCAAGGCAGCAGTCAAATCAAGCCTCTGAGTATGCCAGCAGTCCTGTCAAAACAAAAACAATAACAGGTACATCACTGAATTGAAACTATCCATTCTGTATTTGCAACCTCCCTCACTAATATGTCCCCACAACAGAATGGCATCAGCTGTGTGCAAGTACTATGGAACAACTTTCAGCTTTAGAGAAATTAAAACTTTTAATTAAAAATAATCAAATGTATAATTTTCAAATATATGTTTATTTTTATTCTTATTTTTGTTCAGTGCTGTCTTTGCAGCCCTGATAGTCTAATGTGACATAATTTGTAAAATGAGATAAAGGAGATCTGCTTTCAATAGAATATCTGCTATGCACCTTGATATTTAGTCCATAATTTTGTCAGACTTCACACTGTGATTAATCCCTAATTTCTAGTCAATCTGTTTACATTGCTTAAAGTCTGGCATCTATGAAAGTCAAGATTTGTGCATAAACGGTTAAAATTTACTGTTTTCAAAACCACTCACCCATAGAAAGGCACTTCTGCTTATGGAGTTCAAGAAATTATTTATTTTAGGAGTATTTTCTGAGTCTAAAGTGAAACATCATTACCACTAATCAAGATAACATGGTTTTCTTGGAATTTCCATTGTATTTATTCATATGGCACTCTCTGCAAGTAGTAAAGTAGGTGGTCATCCAAAAAAAATTACTATCCAGCTGAGACTTTTAGTGATCCTTCTGAAATACAGTGAGCAAATTCTCTTTTCCTTTGCATTGATGTTTATTTCCAGATTAACATGAAGCAAGATGTTGTCTGCTGAAACTAAGATTACAGTCTTGTTCATTAATGGCAGTTAAATGCTGTTTTCTGATTTATAGGGGCTAAAACCCAGAAAATCTGTTTGCTGAATATTAGTGGGTTGTTTCACTGGTAGTAAGACAGCAGATTAATTTTGAGAACTTACATTTCATTCATGAATATCCTTAATTTTTGCCATTTATCCATTTATTTTTACAATTCATTTATGCATTTCCTTTATTTTTACCTGTGATGAAATGATGGTACCAAGCATATACTTCTTTTAACTGTATTTGTCATTTGTTCCACTTTTATCGACATCATAAATGGTATTATTTGTTTCTTCTTGATGTTAATTCTGCCTGCAAAGCACAAAGGTGTTTCACTAGAAAAACTTTGGTTATTTTGAATATTTGACATTCAAATCCAGCTATTTGCATGAATAAATTCAAGATTAGTTTTTCTTAATTTATTTAACCAGTTTATAAAAAAGTAGGCAAGTAGTTTGAAAAAATAGCTTTGTACTTGGATGTTGAAAACTGGTGTCCCAGTCTGATACCTGCTTAGCATAGTAGCCCTTTTAGTTCTTCAGTATTTGTTATTCTTCACTTTGAGTATTATCTTTTCTGATCACATCAGAATATTCTACTAAAAGAAAACATTATTGTTCAAAATCTAGAAACGCTATGGATGACAGTTTTACTTTTTGGGGGGGTTTTGTGTGTGTTAGAAATAATAAAATTAAATTATAAAGTATAAAAAATGTCATAGAAGCAAAAGTGGGGTTTCTGTGCATCTCAGCTTCCTCCTTTTTAGTTTGAAGTCAAGATCTGTTTTCAGTTACACATTGCTGCAAAAATGAAAAGTTTATTTGTAGATTTCATTTGTTATCTGCCACTTACTTTATTCCTTCAGTTTATCCAATAAGTTTAGCCTAGATGCTGAGGATTTTTTGAAATTAAGTAGATATTTGGCTTCTCTATAAACAGTTTTGCAGTATAGAGTTTGATACTGTGAAATGAGAAATGATGGTGTTAATTCTCTCAAGAGATAACATTGACTAAGATTTTTTTTTTTTTTAATTGGAAGCAGTCTAAGAAGAGACTATTGGATTTGGCTTCATTAATTTTCAAGTGTTAAAACTGTAGAAAAATACATTTTTTTTTTCAAGTGAAGCTACATACACATATCAGAGGGTCTACTCGGTTAATTTTTGAGAGGCAGTGTGCGTGACACTAAGTACTACTGGGCTGAAGAACAGCCTGCTGTTATGGTTTAACCCCAGCCAGCAAAGCAGCCACTCACTTACTTCCCCTGTAAAAAGATAATGCAGAGACTTGGAAAGGTGAAAGCTGGAAAACTCATGGACTGAGATAAAGACAGTTTAATAGAGAAAGCAAAAGTCCTGCACACAGGCAAAGCAAAACAAGGAATTCATTCAGTTTCCCATGGGCAGGGAGGTGTTCGGCCATCTCCAGGAAAGCAGAGCCCCATCAGGTGTAACATTATTTGGGAAGATGAACCCCATCACTCCTAACATCCCTCTCTTCCTGCTTCTCCCAGCTTTACTTACTGAGCATGATGCTACATGGTCTGGAATATCCCTTTGGTCAGTTTAGGTCACCTGTCCTGGCTGTGTCTCTCTTGCATCCCCAACTTCATCAGGGTGGCAGTGCTTGAAGCAGAAAAGGCCTTGGCTTTGTGTAAGCCTTGCTCAGCAATAGCAAAAACATCTCTGTGTCATCGACCCTGTCTGTATTCAGGACCTGAGTTCTCCATTTTATAGTGTGGTGGACAGATTGGAAGAGCATTTGCAAAAGAGAATTAAACAGTGGTGGGTTTGAAGCAACATTTTTCATAGACCAGGTCTGCACTTCACACAGCAAACTGGTCTTTTAATTCTACTACAAATTCAGAATTCATTTCAAGTTCAAAGCTGAGAATAGAATCCAGCCTTGTTTCATTCTGCAGGAAGTGTAGGTGTGTTGTGTACAAGGATGTGGATATGGAGAGAAATAAAGGATATAAAAGCATGGATTTTGGAAAAATCCTTGGTGTTTTGAAACAATGATATTTTGTACTTTGGAATTATGTTCTTAAAGAGAAATAATTAAAGACTTTGAAAGCTTTATAAATGCTGTTATACTTAGTTTGCTATTTGTATTTCAAGTAAATGTAGGATGGTGTCATAACAAGAAAACTGAGAACATTTGTCTTAGACTTTCATTTTTTCTGTTCTGTATAAATCACCAGAATTCTAATAATGACATTGTTCACTTTGCAAATTTCTTGCTGGTTTACCCTGCTTACTTACTTCCCCAAAACTTGTAGAAACATAGGATCTTTGAAATATTTACCCTTTTGAATTTAACCAGTACCTAAGGAGTTACGAGACAAGCAAATGAGTTGCATGCATATGCAAGGAATATAGGATTGCATAAGCCTTTCCATAGGAAACCAGGCAAAGAAAGATCCTCATCTTTCCTTTCAATCATTTCTTAACATTTGATAGTGTAGATATAATAGAACTTGAATTTCTTGTTAGGTATTTACTGTTACTGGAATTCCTTGGGGTTTATAGGAAGTGTTAGTAATTCAATTTTGAAAGCTTTACTGAAGGAATTCTTAAAATTCCTTCTAAGTATACATGAGGTATTTCTGAACCACTATTAAATACCTTCTACATAAAACTGAACAAAGGACAAGGCTTTAAATTTGGACACATCCCTATCTTATTTGGACCAGTTGATGCCAGATAAACAGATATCTTTATTTGAAGTTTTAAGTTAATAAAGTTTCTACTGAAAAGTTCCAGTGTAGCAGAATACGTCCTGTACTTAGCAGAACTGAATACAGTCACTGATTTTTGTTATTCTTAAAGTCCAACTAGAATGCATAGTTAGATTCCTGCTAAAATGAGCTGTTGGAATGCAAAAACCTGGCAAATGTGAGAGAAGTCTGGCTGGTGAGAAATCAGTGGATTATCTGAAGTATTTGAATTAGTAGGTCACTATTTCTGCTCAGTGAACTGAATGATTATCGTTTATTCATGCCTACTATGAAATATATGACTGATGATTAATTTGAGAAGATGAATGAAATTAAATAGATGCTAAATAGTTTAAGTAAAATACTTGAAGGAATAAAAAAAAAAAAAAAGGAATTTAAATCTGGTGCACATTTACCTAGGGTTCCTGAAAATACTAAGATTTTTATAAATGGGCTTTAGTTCTTGGATTATTTAAAAGGAGAGCGTCCAGGCACAGGTGATTTATAGAAAGTTTTAAATGTCTGGACAGTTACATATCTATATAAAAAAATAATTTTTATGAGTTTTGTCAGCCAGTAAAAATGTTGAACATTTTTGTTATGGTGGCATGATTTCTTCAGTTCACTCTGTGGATTTCAGAAACATGAGCAACTCAAAGCCAATATAGTATATCAAACATTCTTTCTGTATGAAGAAATTCCATGTTGAGAGAGAACAAATGGTTGTTTATTTTCAGATTATATTTATAAGACTAAGGAACTTTCTGTGTATTTTTAAAAAGGCAGAGTACTAGGCAGAATTCCACATTTATCAGAACTTAATGCAGATCCAAAAAGCTAAAATTCTTACTTCATGGTATAAATTGTATTTGGAATGGTAAGTGATACTAAGATAAATTCAGGCGTGGATTTTTAGATATGAACACACAAATATCACATTTTTGTAATTACTAATCTAGTAGCTCAGTTTGGCCTCTGAATGGCTGGTTTTGATTTGTACAAAAGCATCAGTCCTCTTTTATTTATGTTCCCAGAACTAAATAGGTATTTTTTGCCAGAAGTAGTGCAGCAATCATTAGGAATTTGGTGGGAGAAAATGCTGACCATAGACATTCCCTAGCCAACATACACTTTCACACAGAAAGATCCTTTCTTGTTGCACAACATTAATATCACATTTGTCTTTGTTTATTGACACATGTTAAAAGCCTCTGTGTTTTAACTCTTATTCTGCTGTTAACTCATTGGGTGAGCACACAAATGTAGTCACTGCACCTTTCTGCTGCCATTTCACTGCATGTAAGGGACTTGCTCTCATGAGTTGTCAGGGAGTGTGTCACTCAAGTTATTATCTTGATAAAATAATGTATTGTCTGCACTGTTAATAAAGTAGAATGCAAAAATGCTCCAAGGCCAGTAAAGAAATTATTTATGCAAAGACTATTCAGTATGCTGGCAAATATGTCACATATTTTCATAATCTTAAAAGGACTTCCTGGTCATTTAAGTACTGCTTTTATTCTCAGTCATTCTGATGGAGAGTGTAAACTTCAAGAAGTAATTAGCATAGTCTCTTTTTAGAAAATGAATAATTCAAGTATCATTCATCCAGGAATGGGACTGTGGGGAATAATTTTTCTTATGACACCTCAAAAATAAAATGTGAATATTAGTGAAAGACTTCTGAAGGGTGCTGATAGTTCAGAAAATATTGATAAATGCAGGTTTGAGCTTCTCAAAACAGAGAAGCTTTAATTAACTTTGAAATTGAATGGTGGGAAAAGTAGTGCATTAGGATTGGAAGTATTTTAAAAATAATTCCTTTGTACTTTTGCAATTTCTTGTATTTGAAAAATACTTTAATATTCAATCACTGAACATAATTGTTTAATGGATGTGTATTACATTGGGAAAAGAATTTCTTTGTCTGTCATACATATTTACACAAAAATGTGGGTGATTTGTAATGCCTTCAAATATCTTTATAATTACATACGCTTAGTTCTGTTTTGTTGCAAGTATAAAAATACGGAGACTTGTGAGGAAAATTGGAAGACAAACCTGTGGACAAACAAGCTTTTATGCAATAAGTTTCATTGATTTTTTTGCTTCTATATAGTATTTTACACAAAACCAAAAACATTTACAGAAAATTGCAGGTTTTTAGAAAGGTGATGACTGTTTGGGGTTTAATTAGGGGGTAGTTTTGGGAATTTTTACATACAAAGAAAGCAATTCATATTCTGTTAAATATATATATAAGTAGGCCATTTTGATTTTTTAGAGGTTGTTTAAAGTTTGAATTTTCTCCTCCATGGAATTTTGATCTCATTTCTAATCCTTTTGACCCCTTGATTAGTTCCTCAAATGTTGGGAATTTCCTGCCAACACCTTAGTGTTTTTGGGTTTATTTTTTCACGGAAAGACATACCTAAACGTTAAGGAAATCCGAGTGAGTACTTTGATTCCATCCAGACCGGTTCCAATTTTAGGAGAGGAAAAATCTTCCTAGAAAAAGAGCGATGTAGTAGGACAACACTTTCCTCTAATTTCTTTTTTTCTTCAATGTGTTTTGCTGTCATGGCCCCTTGGTAACTGTAGGCAGTCTGTAAAAGCATTTTCCTCAGTGTGGCTCCCTTCCGGTGTGTGAGAAGCTGTATGACAGATGATGTGATGTTGGAAGGAAAGCTTACCCAGCCTGTTGAGGTCATGGGACAGAAACATTCTGAGTAGGGTCATGAGATGTGATGGAGGAGAGAGTCCTGCTGCCTGCCTGGCTGGCTGTGGACCTGTCCTGAAGGAGGAGTGTGCTGGGCTTTTGGGCATCATTGAAAGTGTGGATTTGGAGGCAGCAGGATAACCTTTTCCAGACAGAAAGCAGCTGCTGCCTTCTTAATGCATGAGGGATTTGAGGCACACAGTGGAACAGGAAAAATGAGTCTCTCTTGTTCCAGAGAGGTTGAGACCTGTGTGCCACACAGAAATCAGGAATGAGGTACCTCCCTTCAGTTTAATTGCTACCTCTAAGGCGAGAGGAAAGCATGTGGCCATCAGTGCCTGCAGATTATCAGTATTCTTCAACTCAGTAGTGGAAGTCTCTGATGTGTGGGTTTTTCTGCACTTACTTAAATGAGAAAACATCCATTTGCCCAAATCACACCTCAGAAGTTTCCTTTGCCCTTTTCTAATTTCTTAAGTCACTGAATATTAATAACACAGAATAGTGTCATTTTCACAAAACTTCTTTTTATTTTCAAAATCTATTTTCTGTGTCAAAGTCCTACAAAAAAGTCATTCCCAGTAGGCTAAAAATCACAAAGGAGATATTTTTCTATATAAGAAATACACTTTTAAATGGAATTTATACCTGTAGGTCTTGTTTGGTGGCATCTTCTACAAAGTGAGTAATTTAATGATTAATTTTGCAGAACTTGGAACTTCCTCCGTACTTTAATGAGAAATTGGGAAAGGAGTTATTCGATGAGTCCTTTTTTACATTTTTTTTTAAGTCTGTTCATTACCAATGTGTTCTGAAATTGGCAAGTCTGGCAGCTTATATGTGATTGATGTGGTGCATATGTTTGCAAAAGCACCAATTAAACAATAAGGAACAACAGATAAGAGTAGGAGCATTTTATCTTTCTGTAGACTTTTTTTCTTAAAATTCAACTGGTATAATCTGAAGCAGTCCCCACTCTGGTGGGCTTTTTTTTTCCCCTCATCAGTTTGGAAGTATTTCATGCAAACCATATTTTCTATCTAGCTATTGCTGACTGGCACCTGGGTTGAACACAAGACTGATGACATTGCCAGGAAATGTTTTGAGGTTTTCAGTTCAGTAGTAGCTAAGTAGCATAATTATTTTAGGGAATTACCTTCTTTCTGAGTCAGATGAGGCTGATCCAGTCTGCATGCTTACTGTAGAGGACTAGCCAAACACACATGGTAGCCACACCTGACAGTGTCTTAGCAGTGTCTTGTCATCTCCTGGTCTCCTTGCCTGATAGGAAATTAAGACACTTCTTTCCCAGCATCCTTTCAGGCAAAATTCTGGGATTTACAGTACAGGGGGAAAAAAACCCAAAGTACTACTTTCTTATTTTCAGAAGTTACTTTACTTGTTTCTTCTTTCTACTCTGATAGACTTTTTATTCATTTTCTGTTTTCCATGGTTTATGGTTGGATGGTTCCTTTTCTGTCTTTTGGGTTTTGAGACTTCTTTTTTTTGATCTCTTGGTTGAACTTGAAGGGTTATAGCAAACCTGCTTTTTATTGTGGGTATTCCTGGAATTTTACAAATTTTAATTACATGTAAATGAAGAAAAAGAGGAGGTACTTCAGTCAGCTAATTTTATTTTTAATTCACAGATTGTTGTTTTTGGCTATTCCGCTAATTGAGAGAGAATTAGCACTGTTTGCTTTCCTACAAATAAAATATGGGAGATTGGAACAAAACCTAGCTTTAAATCCCACTCACAAGGGACACACTTGTCAAGTGATATGGGATGTTGATGGTCCCTGCTGAATGCATTGTAGAATATGTAGGTTTTACATTGTATTTATCTACTCATCCTGAACTGAAGCATCCTACCTGTGGAATTCCCAGAGTCTCACTGTGACTTTGTATGCCATTCTCACCTTTACCCACACTTGTGTTCTAGAGTTCTATGCTTCACTGACTCTTATTTTAGTATTTCTTGGTACTCAAGCTGTTCCTGATTCTTACCTCATAGTGTATGTGTACTGTAGGGCCTGACTACACAGAAGACTACACAGAAGATGGTCTGAATTGAGGTGGGGTAATAAATTAAAGGAGAACAGCTATTTCTTGATTAATCTCTTTGTTTTAAATTAATCCATTCATAACCTGGATGGAAGACATACTTCATGGCATAAAGCTGTCCATGTGAGATGTTAAAGAACAGCTATTGCACACTGCTTCTCCAGATGGACAATTTACACGTTTGTCTCTCCAGAACAGCTGACAACAAAAAATCCTGAAATGTCACACTTTGCACACTCTCATGATCCAGTTTTCATTTCATATCCTTCTAACATATCCATAATTAGAGCCAGGAATCTCTGAGAGGACTAATTACACTGCAGCCATAAAAATCCTCTTTTACTCTTTGACCACCTCTCTTTCTAAATCTTTAGATTCTCCATCAGTTTAATGAAGCGAACATTTTGTTTTAAGATGATTAGAAATACTATTTGTTGAGGGATTTCTCCTGATAACATTATTGATCATTGATGGGGAAAATGCCTCAAATTAATTCATCCAGTGACATTAACATTGCATTCTCTCAGCGGAAGTTCACCACTTAGATGTTTCACTTTTAAATATGCATGTTTCATTGCATACTGAAGAACCAGTGATGCATATCAAGGACCATGTATTTTTGCTTTCCTTAGTTCAGTTGATAGCATAATTTTGTCTTAAGAAGTCTTCTGTAATTTTTATGCCACAGATTTCTCCTAGCTGTAAAATTGGTAGATATATTTTTGTCACACACTGATTTCAAGTTAGTTTAAATTTAAGTCATGAAGTCTTCATAATTTATTCCTGCAGTTTTGTCAGCTCAACAACATATAGGCCAAACCTAGGAATGTAAATTAGCTGACAATAGTGCTGTGGGTATCCCAAAACACAAGGAGAAGGATATTCTGTAAAACATGTCAGAGGGAACTATGCACCACTCACAGTCCTCATTTGAAGTTCTAGTGTGCTTATATTTAATTTAACGTTTCTAAAACCTTTTCATGTTCATGTAATTAAATAACTAGCAGTTTAAGGAAATGTCTCTTTTTATTAGAAAACATTGAATTTTGCTGAAACATTTCATACTTTATTACCTTAAAATTTGACAAAGTAAGAAAACAGTTGAATTTTTAAGCCTTTTTTTGGAAGCATACACAAATTTTTTAAGGGAATTTTTCAAAGAAAACAAATTAAAGGCTGTTATTTAATGTGGTCTGTCATTTCTTACAATTTTAGAAAGGTGAAACCTTTAGATGACACTGGCAGCAATGTATATGAAAACCTCTTGGATTTCAATTGCATCATCAAATAGGTTATCACTTTAAAAACTGTCTTAATTTGTTAAAGTCAAACATTCTTCATAATATTTTCCTAGCAGTTCATGTTGAAAAAGTTGGAAAATTTAATTTTATTGTGTTGTATTTCTCACAAAGCTTAACTGGTGTAGTTGTATTGAGAAGTTTAATACAGACACATTGTTATTATGTGCATAGTGAGATATACACAGTGAGAGACTCTTTTAGAATGTAATTGTTTTTCTTTGCTATCAGTAAGTATATTATTTACTTAGATACTCTTTTCTTGACATTTTTTGTTTGCATTAGAATCTCGTCCTTTGTCACTCCCTGTGAAAACTGTGCTGAACTCATCTGAAAGCTGCAGAAGTCCTGAGGAAAGAATGAAAGAATTTATTGGAATAGTGTGGAATGCAGTTAAGTGCCTTACACTTCAGGTAAGATGAAAAGGAAGTGAAAAAACCCCTATGTGTTTCCAAACTTTATGATACTTTTTATGCATCCTAGTGCTTTTTATTAGAGGGGTTCTAAAGGAGCTCCCAAGTTTTATTGCTTTATTTCAGTAGTTTCTGAGAGAATAAAAAATAAAATAAGATTTTGGGTAAATTAAGTAGAGAATACTTTGGTTTTAAAATGTTAGGTTTTGAAACACTGTTTTGTATTTAAAGGGAAAGATCCTTCAAAAATCATATTAATAAAAATAGCTTGTCACACTTTTCTGTATTATGAACACTGCAGTTAGATTTGAAGAATGTTTCTTTTCTAAAACTATTTGAGGAAATTGTGTATGATACTTTCTTGAAGTGTATGATACAATTGCTGTTGTTACACAGTGAAGGCTCAGCAGCTTGCTCACCTACTTTTTCATAAAGGACAACCAGATGGCTGCTGGGATTAAAGCATGCTCTAGATTGTAGCTGCTGATCAGTAAAGGCAGAGTTCTGTGTAACAGTATATATGCCATGTTAGGAGTCCAATTTAGAATTATTACAACCTGTACCTTTTAAAGGCATTCATTTGATCAGTATTTTATGGTACAGCAGGATATTGTATCAATTTTTCTTTTTTAATTAAAAATAATCATCAAAAACTGCCCAAAAAAGTCTTAATTAGAATTTTTGGCAAGTTTTTTTGTCATTACTACATAAAGTTGTTACTGAATGCTAATTCTTCCTGTCAAGAAATAGATTTACTTATATACAGGCTTATCCCAAAATCTGTGTCTTGTCTTTCATGTGTGACTCCTCTTTCATGTGAAAATTACTTAAAATTCACACTTTTATAAAGTTTAGAAGTTCAGGTTTTGCCTGAGCAAGAACTTGCGAATTGTCACCTGATTACAGAACATAGTGAAGTTGAGGAGATGCTTTCCATTAAATCTATTTAGTTTTCAGCCTTCTCTTTCATCATTGTTTCACGAGTATTTTGCTTGTTTTCCTTTCTTTCTTAATGTTCTCTCCACTGCAGATTAAAATGTCTAGATAAGATAGAGAATTTGTAATCTATTTGAAGGAAGCAGTGTATTTTTGTTATGTGTCTGGGTGGTACTTAGCACAGTGAGACTCCCTATATAAATGCAGCTTACAGTTTGAGTAATAATAAAAGTGATAATATAATAATGACAACGAAGAAGAGCTGGGTCCTTTATAAAGGGGGAAACTGAATCAGGACCATAATACTCTGCTCATACATTTTTCATGGTATGCTTTTTTGTGAGCAACCAGTGAATTGAGTTTCTTTTGAGGAATGAGTAAGATACCAACCATGAAGTTTGTGTGTTACTAGATAAGAAAAAAAGATCGTGTTTCTTGCTGTGGAGATGAAAACTGATGGCAGTGATAGGCGGGGGTTGACTCAAAGTGTAATTCCTAAGTACCTTGCTGCTCTCAACATACAGAATAGGGATCATACTGGCAGAGGATTTTTTGTATTGGGTACTTCTGCTGGTGATTGAGGTTCTAGATTTATTTACTTTTTAGAGGGTTATTTCTTTTGTAGAGTACTCATGCTTTCTATTTTCATCACTATGACTATTAAATTATATTTTTATAATTTTGTAATTTTATGTTGACACTAAACACCCCTATGAATTCATACAGTAGCTTACACGCTTTGTTTCATCCTTATGCTTTAACTGTGCTTTGTAAGGTATTTGCCAGTATCTTCTCAGAAGTTTATTACATGTTACCAGAGAAACATTTCAGCAGACTCTAAGGAAGCACTGCAGGAAAGTTTGACAATGTGCTTCCATACAAATGTGCAAGTTATTCCTTGTGAAGTGTGAAGGATTTATAGATCTGTTTGCTGTTCTTCTTACTTCTATTAGTAGTCCCTATGTCTAATTTATTTAAATGTGGTTTCAAGACACAAATGCCAAATATATAGCTTGTTTCTTTTAGTACCAGCCCAAATGGGAAATTTGTGCAAGGCAATTTATAGAGGGTAAGAAAATGAGTATCATGACTCTGTATTTCAAATCAAGTGCATTGTATTTATTTTATTATACATAATGTGCATTTTATTAAACATATATAATTATATTTAAATTACAAGTTCATACAGATTTTCTGTATTCTTATTTGGCATGAAAAAGGAAAATTTCTAGAATAATTTGTCTGGAGCATTTTGACCCTGTGGCTTTTTTCCTAAAGCTAATTTTCATGTTCCTGGATCTTTTAGTTACATGATCGTAGAACAGAAAAGTCTGTAGTTGTCATCAGATAAAACTGAACTTCATAACTTAAAATCATCAAAGGATTATTCTTTTAGTGGAAGTTAGAGTAAGTAAATGTGTTTGGAACCAAAGTAACTGGAAAGTTTATTTTGGATCCAAAGCTGGTACTTGCTTAGCCCTAGCTCTGGCTTGCTTCTGATAGAATATTACATGAAGGTTTTATGCTTTGGAGGTGTGGTAACCTATTAGGATTTAAGTGAAAAGACTTTCATATTTAATTATAAAACGTTGGTTTATTATTTAGTTGTTTTAGGATTTTATATGCAGCCTTGAAGTCTTTTTGGCAGTTACACTGTGTATGAGAGTAATACTCGTTTTTCACATGTTCTTCATACTAATAGTTGCTAAAATTGTGAAGCAGTGTAAACACAATTATTTTTAATTGGCTGTTAATGCTGAATTCCATTGAGAACAATGAAGGATCTGTATTAAACGTAAATTAATTAATGAGTAATGTTGTAACAAGTGCCAAGTACATAAGAATGTAATTGTTACATATAAAACTTAGGTATGTCACATGCCTTTAAATATCCCCAAATTTGTTTGAAAAAAATAAATCCTTTTCCTGAAACCACTGAAAAATTTATTTTCTTTAACACACATAACTTGTAAAACTTTTTTGACAAAGTGAAACATAGAAAGGCAAGAAAAGGAAGGACAGATTTGATAAGATTTTTGTTCTTTGAACTGTGTCATTATCCGGGTGTCAGGAAGAGATTCTGTGATTTGTAATTTAGCAGTTACAACTCTCGGCAGTTATTTGGCAACTGTGAGATAGGATTATTTCTTAAGTTGGTTGCTTACCACAAACCAATAAAAATTTGTGGTTTTGATAACTAAATAAAACTTTTTAAAAATATTTAAAAGCTTTCTTATGAAATAATAGGTATACTGTGAAGCACAATACACTGTGGTCAAAGAAAATGTATCTGATCCTTATTATGGTCATTTTTATGTACAGGTAGCCTGCTCTCTTAGTTCTTTTACTTATGTGTTCTGCTTTCCATTTATAACATTTTTACTTTTGTCTACCTTCAGAACAAGCATTTCTGTTCTGCCTTTTAAAATTGTAACAAACACTACATGTCTGGCTCAGCTGCAGATGGTCTAGATGGTAGAATGAATTTGGATGTTGGAGGCTGGGCTATGGTCTTACAATACTGATCACACCAGAACCTGCACATGAGATGTGTAAGCAGTGGTTTTTGCAGCTTGGGGGTCATTGCAAGATGATATTCTGTACCCAGAAAATCACGTTACCTTTCTGCTGAGAGAGTATGAGGGTTGATGACTAATTCAGAGAGAGGCATCTTCCCTGGACAGACACCCTTATGCAGGCATCAGCTTGTAGAAAATCTTCAGTGCCTCTGATTTATGTAGCTGTAAAATGTGAGCTACAGAAGGGAATCTTCTTATGTTATCACTACCATGAAAAGCTGTAAAGACTTGAACAACTTGTCCCTCTTCATTGCACTTTTGGGGAGTCACTTTGTTTTCTTCCCTCCAACCCACACTCCTCAGTTAGCAAGACCTAATTTTTTGGCAGTATTTATTTCACTCTTCTCTCTAGTGAACAACATTACTTTTTATAAAATAAGAATTAAAAATACTCCAGTAACTTAATACTTTCCTTTTTATACAAGAGTCATTGGACATTTTGAGGCTTTGTAAAAGTGTAGAGCACAGAGTTATGCTTTGCTTAATGTTTTAGAAGGGGCAATACTGCTTGCTTCACTGGTTTATCGTTAGTGCATGTTATTTAGCATGTATAGGCCTTGACATGATAGAAATGGAAATAGGGGGTGATCCTGTTTCAAGAATGTAATAATTCGTTCTCTTTAACACATGAATGTGTTCAGTATTGGCAAACGAACATGTTGCTACCAAAACTGAAATCAGATCCTTGAAACAGAAAGGATGTTGCCATGGAAAAATGAAGTAACACGCAGTGCAGCTGCGAAGCATTAATGAATAGGATATTTTTTTAAAAGATCATTTGTGTTTGGTGTGGCTTGGAGGGTCCCAACCAGATGGTTTCCATGAACAGGATCTGACCCCCAGCTTGAGGACTTCTTACTGGCAGATTACTTCATTTTCTTTCCCTTGGATTGTCAGATCCTTACATTAATGCAAGATTTACTGCTGCAGATTTATATTCAGTTACATAAATCAGTCACATCTTACATTAAATTCACAATTTTAGGCACACAGTTTAACAGTTATTTAAAAAGTGTAAAAAGATTTATATGATAGCTTTAATATATGCTATATATTAAATGTATTGATGTAGTTTAATTTTAAGAATTTGGATTACATATATTTTGAAACACTTTCCGATTGGTGAAGCAATCTGTAGTACGCATTCTCACTTTTATCCAGCATATAATTCGATCATCTTAGGTGCACTCTTCCATTCCTTCACTGGAATTTGTGAATAGGCAAATTTCCGGATTCTGTGAGTTAAACGTACACAAATTCCATTGAAGTTGATAGCTGTGAATCTGCCTCCAGAAAGTTCAACAGGTGCAACTCAGTTTTGCACTTACTGGGCCCTTGTGCATTCAAGTTGGTAATTTCTTGTGTGATTATAATGATTGCATAATTCTCTCTAAAATATGGCCTTTGGCTGTTGATTCATTGTGTTTGCCTTTGAAATCCTGCAGTAATGTTTTGCAAAATTTGTTAATCATATAAAACTTTAAATGAAGCACAGGTAAGCCAACCATATCTGTAAGCAATTCTGTAGTATTACATACTGTCAATTTTTAGCGAATCCAGATTTAGGATCCTGCTGACTGCACCAATTTGTCATGAATGAGTGATTTAGAGTAACTTAAATGATCATTAGAAAAGGCATTAGCAAAGGTGATTTTAATATGAATTCATAAAGGTGTAACTTGGTGAAGTTCAATAGCAAGGTTCACCCTATCATGTACTCCATGGTTGAAACATACAAGGGAAAAAAGAATTGGAATTAATCTGGCATTATTTACATGGAGGCCAAAGATGGAAAAGGATAAGGTAAACCAAATGCTGAGTCATACAGACTGGACCTCCTTGCTTGCCAAATCTCTGATGTGGCTTAGGTGCAGCTGGATCTGATCTGGACAACAGTTTTTATCTAAGAGAAGAAATACAAAGAGTGAGGAAATCCTTCCATTGAGTTATGAGTTTCAGAGTAGATCCCCTTGCTTTCTAAACTCCTGATGGAGCTTAGGTCCAATCTTAGTCTCAGACTTTGACAACATTCTGTCTAAAGGAATTACCTACATGGATTTCATTAATATTAATTTAGCATGCTGTCAGCAGCTTACTGAGGATCTATTGCAGTTAGGGGATCTCTCTGCCTTGGGCTTCAGAAGGAACACTCAATCTCAGATGAGGAATCCCAAACACTGTGCGGCATGCAAGCTCAAGTGGAGAGTCACTGGTGTGCAGTCCAGTTGCAATTTAGGGAATGCTTGAATTGAGCTCATCCAGAGATCTGTTGTTAGTAGAAGGGCCTCTCTGCCTCTCGGAACAACCTTGAAAGGTGTCCCTCCAGCTCAAGGAGAGATCACTGCTGTGCAGCCACCCTGCCTGGCAGGGAGAGCTCAAAGGCAGTTCACTTAGGTTGTCATTGGCTTGTAGTCAAATTGCATGCAATGGGAAGGGTGTGCAAGAGACTCCTTGTACCCACAGGTTTCTTTGTTCCTTGATAACTAAGTCTTGGAAAAAACACATTCAAGTGTTATTCACATGATCAGGCATGATGCCTGTTGAGTCATGCTGCTCTTCATGGGTTTCCTGGAGTTCTAGACCAGGCTACAGCTTGGCCTTTACCTCATTTGGAGTTACTGAGCTACTGCTGGTCTGGTTAAGGGGTCGACTGTATCCATCACACATATGGAGACCTGATGCTACTGTTTAAAGCCCACCAAAATTCATGGTCCAACTCCCATTCAGTTGTTTGAAAATGAATAACAAAGAGCTGCTTGTGTAAAAAAGGAATTTCCATCAGGAATTTAAAGAGGTGAAACTGTTGTGATTCTACTTCAGTATTCTTGGTATGGCAAAGTAAAATAAACCAAATGTGATCGGCAGAACTTTTCTTCAGTACAAAGCTGTACTAAACTGTAAATGAAGTGCAAAAACTCTACTGAGTTTGGAGATCTCTTCTTGAGAGTACTTTGTAAAACGTTGTATACATCCTGCTGCTGGTAATGTGATAAAGTATAGTATCTCTTCAAATTGGTGGAATTTTTAGATTATTATTACCACACAGTCTGTATATCCAGGCAGCATTTGATGTTAATTGTCGTAGATGTGTATTTATATACATATATATGTGTGTGTGTGTGAAGAATGGGTGATTTTTTATAAACTGTTTACTCAGCAAATGCATGGATAAAGCAATAGTTATACTGATCATAAGTTCTTTTGTCATCTATTTATCATTATCCCACAATGGCTTGACCTGCAACCTGTTACTAATAGACCAGAAAACGATCTAATGTGTCACTGTAAAAATCTTTGCAAATTGACACAAAGACTAATTTGCCATTAAAAAATCCAAATCTGTTACATCTGTAACAATACACCCTAGCTTTTCATTCAGTATAAATAAAGTATACTCGGCAACCTTGGATCAATAAACTACTTATCAAAGATGTAATTAGCTTCATTTTACAACTCAAACAGTTCTCAATCCAGAAACAAACACAGACTTCATGAACCAATGTATTTATTTTTGCAAAATTCTACTTATAGTTTTCTGCAGTGAATTCTTGTCAGTTTTTCTAAGCAAAAGGGTACAAAAATGCTGAAGTAAAGATTAATATCTGTGTACTCACTAGGCTGGCAAAGTATTTAGAGTGCTATGGAATTCCAGCTCTATTAAAAATCAGTATTGTGATCTTGAAGGTCTAATACCTTTTGGGGGAGAGTATGAAGTACAAATCTTGGTTATTGCTTTTAAGCTCTGCTGTCTTTAACTAGAGTGTTATGTAAGTTTGCAGCAAACAAATGTTTTTATCACAGCTACAAATAATATCTTGTCCAACAATTTGTATGCTAGGCTTTCCAAGCAATGTGAAGAAATGAACTGAATCATAGCTTGTATTTGCTTAAAGAAGTGTTCAAGTGTGCAGGCTGTTGGAACCTTTTGATATCCAGGTGCCAGAATGTTATTTGTAAGAGCCAAGGAAGACTAACAGTCCACAGCTTACATCACCTCTGAGTTAACAAGTTGTGATGAGTTGAGTTCTTGGTTTGGGCTGGCTCAGCCTCTCCAGAAACTCCTCAGAAGATGGCGAAAATGGGCAGACATGTTCCAGGGTAACAACATTGAAAATAAAGAACAAAAAAATGTTATTTCTTATGAAACTATATGTGCTGCTTTTGATTTAAACTGAAAAGTGGATAAAAGCTGTATAAACTTTGTCAACTATACTATCTCTCTTTGTTTTTTTATACACCTCTCCATTTGTTTAAAAATCAGTTTTTCTCTAAAGATTGTGTTTTTCATAGTTTTTGTAGCTATCACCTTTTTTGTACATGCTCATTGTGTTGCTTATTAAGTAAAGGAAGAATTTTCCCTGTATAATTCTTTATAGAAAGTAACAGCATATAAAATGTTGGCTAGTCCTAGAGACTTAGCTATTGCTAACAAAAGCTAATGAATGGCAAAAAGTGGAGGGCTTTCTCATTCAGAACATTTTCTGACTCAATTGCACTCGTAAAAAGCTGTTGAAACGTAGATCTGTGTACATGCACTTTACATGGCAATACCTTTCTGATGAATTTACACAGAATTTCTCCCCTCCCATAATTGTAATTTATGAGCATATATTATTTTCCAGCATTTTGCATCATCTTTTCTCTTAATTCAACTAGAAGTTATTTATATTTTCAGTCAACTGTGATGGATGAATAACTTCAGATTTTGTACCAATATGAATACTCCACAGTGGGGAAAATAATCTATTTCTGAGAATCTTTCTTTGCTTTGTTTTTTCAGCTTGAAGTGCAGTCTTGTTGTGTATTCCTTCCGAACGACAGCCTGCCGTCTCCGAGTACTATTGTGTCAGGTGACATTCCTGGGACTGTGCGAAACTGGTACCATGGGCAGGCCAGTATGCCTGGCACACTTGTCGTCTGCTTGCCCCAGATAAAGGTTATGAGTGCTGGACACAAACACATGGAACCATTGCAAGAAATCCCATTTGTTGTGCTGAGACCCATCCTGGAAGAAGGTAATGTGATAAACTCAAAAAACCTTACTCTTTAGTTTCCATTTCTAACTGTCATGAAAATTTTCTTCATTTTATCTTGGAAGCTTCTGATTTGGTATTGCTTTTTTTAGCAGAATGTTGTTATGTATTATTGATGTCTAGAAATGCTACCTACGAGGTTGGCCTCAGGGAAATCAATATGGAACTCATCATCAAAGAGCTAGTTCTATGATGCTTTGTATATTTGAAAGTAAAATAATTTTTTACTTTAATTGGTTTTGTTATTGAAGTTATTTTGTAGCCAATGATCTCGACACAACAGGAAGTGACGGTAAATTGAAAATTCCAAGGCAGGTTAGGAAAAACTTCTCATCCCACCAAGGTCATGGATGTGCCATTCAGACTGGACAGTAGATAAACATTCTTTACTTGGAGGGTGGTTGGACACTGGAACAAGCTTCCCAGGAAAGTTACCATGACTCTAAGTCTGTCAGAGTTCTGGACACATCTGTACAATGCTTTTAATCATATGATTTAATCTTAGGTAGTCACTGCAAGGAGCAGGGAGTTGCACTTGGTGATCCTTATGGGTCCCTCCCAACTTAAGATATTCTATGATTCAGTGTAAAATGAGAAAAGAAATAAGTATAGCAAACTGTCAAAAGAAAAGAATGAGACTTTAATGGTCATCCTGATAGGCAACAGTTGTGTTTTGTGTTGTGACATAGGAATTGTAGCAGGGGTTTTGTAGAGATTTGAAGAAAAAAATTGTAAATACTTGAGGAAAAGTACCGTAGTTCTTATTCGAAAAGCTAATATTGGACAGGGGTTTCAGTTTTAGACCAGCTTGAGGGAAGAGTCAGCTTTTAACATTCTGCAACTGGTCCAGAAATGAATGGAGGAGATTAGCTGAAAAAGGACCTAGTAAGTGAAAACAAGTTGCTTATGTTCAGCATTTTCATTGTGTTTTGTTTTTTTTAATAAAACCTTTAGAAATTATCAGAGTAAATAGTAAATAGACTTGAAGAATTGTTCTGAAGAAATACTGATGTGAAGATCTTGTTCCATATATATATAAATAAGAAAAATGTGTAGGAAATAGGTGAGGCAAGTATTCTGAGTTATCTTGAGCTTTGGGTTCCAGGTTTATTTTAATGATTTCCATGAGAGCTAAAGCTAAGCTCACAACCAAGTTTTGTATTCCATGGAAATGCCATGTAAATTTGTGGTTTAACCCCATCCAGCAGCTCTGGCTGCACACAGTCCCTCACTCCTCCACCCTGGTGGAATGGAGAAGTGAGTCAGGAGGTCAAAAGTGAGAAATCTTAGGAGTTGAGATAAAGAGAGCTTAAAAAATAAAGTAAAAGCAAAATAAAAATTTGATTTGCTACTTCCTTTCAGTAGGCAGGTGTTGCAGCCATTCTGTTTGGCTAGTTTCTTTGGTTATTTGGAGTCAGCTGACCAGGCTGTCTCCCTTTCCAACTCCTTGTGCACCCCTAGTTTACTTGCTGGTGGAGCAGTGTGAGAAGCAAAAAAGCACTGTTCAGCAATAATTAGAACATACCCATATTATCCACAGTGTTAAGCACAAATCTAGAACAGCACCATACCAACTACTATAAAGAAAATTAAGTCTATCCCAAACAAAACCAGGGTATTGGTGTACAGTTAGTTCATTGTTATATTCTCAAACTATATTATTGAGAAAGAATTTATCACTGTTTTGTGTATTCATTCTAAGATGAAGAGAGGGAGATGCAGCAATTGTTCCATTGCTTTTGTGACAGCATTTTCTGTGAAATTTTTTCTGTTTTCTGCATACTTACTGTTCAAATACAAACAGTTTAAAGGGTATGAAAAATTAAGGCAAAATCACATTCAAGAGCTAGTCTTGCTCCAGCCATCAGAAATTTGTTTGGATTTATAACATTTTGTTTCTTCTCCCTTTGGTCTTATGTTGGACTCTTCTCCTTTCTGTATTTTACCTTAACTAATGGCAACAGAAATAAAATTGTAGTTTTTAGTATTGAAAGTCATACTAGAGATGTTGCCAAATGAAAAGAAAAAAAACTTTAAAAGAAAGAGAGAAAGATATATGTGTTTTCCCTAATAATTTTCAGTAGGAATGATCTTGTTTGCTAATCATAGTAACAGATAGAAGATAAATTTAATCTAAATCTTTTGTTTGTTTTAAACTGATGATGTAATTTAAACCATTTATGAAAGTAAGAAGTAATTGGAGTTTTGTCAGACCCAGATTTGAAGGAAAGAGCCTAGTGAGAGAAGAGAATCCCCCTGGTTGGGATAAATAGCCTATGGTAAAGAATTTATTTGTGTGTGGCTTTCCGCTCTGGGAATAATGCCAGACAGAAGTTCTCACAATCTTGATATTTTTGATTCTCTAAGGGAGCCATTGCCTTCTCCCATGCCAAGACTTCCTTTTAAACAGATTATTTCAAAGCTTTTTCACAGCTTTAAAGTCACCTTCATTGTTTCTTCCCCTGTAGAGGTAAATAATTTTTATGGACTTGTATTGTGAAGTCTCTTAATTTGATTCTGTCTTTGAACAAGACTTCAGGGACAGTCTGTCATTCTTCAGACATGTTACCATCTCTCAGAAATTGTATTTGTATATACGTATTAAAACCGTGCTTTCCTGATAACCATTTTTTTGATCATTCCTTCTTTTATAAAGAAGATATAAATAAAAGGCTTTTCCACAAGGATGTGTTGTTACTTTTAAGAAAGCTGTGTATACACTGATAAACTTTTCTTATTACATGAAAGACTAAAAGAGGACAAAAAGGAAACATGTACTGTCGTTTCGGAGTATTTCAGCCTACTCAGATATTTACTGACCTCAAGATATCAACATACTGTAAAAATAGCTTATACACTATCCCACAATCAGGTTTTTCCATTTGTTTACAGAGTTTTGCTGCATCTCTGAGGTAAGTCTAGTTTGTAGGAATGCTTAAAAGAACATTTTAAGAACTTTTACAGTACTTTTATTCACAAATATAATGAAACTCGGTCAAACAAAATAACTAATCCATAAATGGATTTATCTATGTAAAGAATGAAATATTCCTTTGAACTTTTGTTGAATAAGAAATACAATTAAGTGAGGTACTCAATTGCATTAAGTATTATCTTAAGAGTACAGATTAATCAGACAGATCTGTGAGGAAGTATTTAGTTAAGACGTTAAAGTGGAATCACAGCATCATAGAGCCTGGAAGAGCAGGTTGGAAATGAACTTGAATGCTCACCTGGTCAAAAGTTGCATGGCAAAGGGACTCAGGATAATATTATCCGGCACCCTGCTCGTTTGTTCCTGAAAGCCTGCACATCAATAAGGAGGCTGTTCTGCTTAATGATTGTTCTTACTATAAAAACTTCCTTATATCAATATTAAATCTCTCCCAGTGCAACTTGTACCTGTTCCCCCTTCTCTGTTTTGGCACCTTTTGAAGAGGGAGACCTCTGTCCTATTTGTAGCTGCCCTTTCTGTAAAATAGTTACTAAGCAGAGCAGAACTGAAATGTTTAGAGAAGTGCTTACAGCAAGTTGTGACTTTCTGTGCACATCTACCTTCAAATATTTGACAATTCATCTGTATAATCTCCAAGTTCAAAACCTGTAGTGGTAGGCTAAAATGTGGTAAATGTAGTTGGACAACAAGTGTTGTTATGGTCAGAACTTCTGGACTGCTAAGTGGTCTTCCAAAAATCTGAACTCTTATAACAGGAAAACAAGTTGAAGACATGAAGGGAACTTTTACATAGGTAAAGCACTGTTTTAGAGTAATAATGAAAATTTTAAGTATTGATTAAATCCTCCTGTTTTTAGAAGTCTATGTTTTGAGTTATTTTAGTTACTGATTTTTTAGTAATATGAATTAATTATTAATGTAATAATGTTCCTCTTCAGGTCATAATAGTAAATTTTATTAATTCATCTTTGTAACAATGTTTGCTTATGTCAGGCACAGTAAGGTACTGTAGTGGTTAGATACAGATCTTTAGGTAAGACACAGTAAAATACTTTTAGAAAGTATTATTCAAACTGTCTTAAAATTGTTGGTGATATTGCTGCTAATCTTATTCACATTTTTAGGTGGATAGCCATATAATGACGGTCATGTGAATCACAGTATTCCAAATATTTAAATGTGAAAGATGGCTTTTGTTTGTGAAATAACACAGATTCACTTCACAGAATTTTTTAACATATGTTGAAACTCAATAATCTGTCGAGAAGTGACTTGCAGGGAAATAGGAGAGAAGCGCCATATAGGTTTCAACCTGAAAACAGCAGTTAAATGTTTAAAGTAGTAGGATTTTAGCCTTCTTACAAGTTGTCATCCTGTGTTAGATTTTTAAAAACGTTTACCTTTAAATTTACAGAAATTATTTTCTCGGTTGTTATATTTGAGATAAATATTTGACATTAAAACTGTGTGCTGTTTGATAGCGGGGTTTGTGTGCAGCCTTAAAGATCATCTGTTTTTAGCCGCCCTGCCAAGGGCAGGGACACTTTTCACCAGTTACTTTTAGACCAGGTTACTCAGAGCCCGTTCCAGCCTGGCTGTGAGCACTTTCAGGAGTGGGGCATGACCAACTTTTCTTTGCAGCCTCTTCCAGCATCTTGCTCTCATAGTGAATAATTTCTTCTTTATATCTAATCTAAATCTACTTTCTTTTGTTTTATTTTGAGCTTATATTCAGTGTCATCATCTGTACTTGTCATGTCATGTACTTAATTTACCTGTTATGAGAATGGCTTGTAAAATTAGTTCTCATGTTTGAGAAGCTGGGATTATGCAGACATAGAACTACTTTCCTCTTGCATGACTGGGAGGAAGTACAATTGACCTTACATGTAGTGACTGCAGTATCTTTTTTTTAAACATTGCATGTCCCATGAGAGTGAGGGCTTTAGAAATACATGTAAAGACCCTGCAGTGTGGGTACAGAAAGGGAAATGAAAACAGACTAGTCACGTTGCTTTTTAAAGACTGCAAGGGATAGTACTAGTAAGCCTGGGAACAGATCTCAGAGCCCGTGCATGATAAAGCTTTCAGGATCTCTCTCCTACCATTACTAATTTTAAACAAAGAAAATTTCTCTTTTGTAGAACTGTCAGCATTGTACACACAACATTGTGTACAAATACCACAGCTGCGATCTGGTTTTTAAAATAAAGATAAGTACTTCATAGAAATGAGAGCAAACATAACAATTATTAGTAGTTAAGTACATTTATCAGTATTGTATGTCATGCATATGGGAAGTCTTATTATAAGCATTGGTGATTAACTCCAGCAAAGAAGCAAAGTGCATCAATAAGTACCAGAGAAAAGGGCTTCCACATATCATTTTTTTTTTATTTATACATTGGAAAAATAATTTTAAAATTCTGTAAGAAATTAGACTTTTTTGCAAGTAGCAGATAAATGATAAATGCCAGTTCTTTGAAAATTGTGTGATGGTTGGGTCGGTCAACTGCCAAATACCTGAAAGTGGTATTTATAAATTTAAGAAGTTATCAAAGCAGTTGAAATAGTTTTCTTAATAAATTTTCAAATACAAATCAGTGATGGTGCTCTACAAAATCAAAAATTAGGATTTAGGATAGTAGTAGATCAGGAATTAACCAGAATCTTCAACCATAGTAGGTGTCTTTCGTGCGTATATTTTATAATCTTGGCATAATAGATGTTGGGTGTGGTATAGTTCCACTGAAGGCATTTACAGTTTTCCCAGTTTCCTTAAAATATTTCAGAATTTCATCATTTAGGTGACAAAATAATAGTATACATAGATGGGAAGGTTATATGTAGAAAAAATTCTGCTAAATGTGGCACTGACTTTTCCTTTCTACCAAGAAATCATTATTTAAATTATGGGGAAATCCTATAAGCAGTGTTGCTTTTGATGTTAAGATTGTTTGGATTAATTTTTTTAATAGTTTCATAAAACAAATTTGCAAATGAATGAAGGCACTGTTCTTTTGGAAAACAAATAAGATATAGGTACAAAACAAAACAAGGATTTATCAGGTGCACAGTTCCAGTAAAGTGCTAGAACAGGCACATAGTGTATGTGGAGCTGAAGAAGAGCTAGAATTAGAATTAGAATTAGAATTAGAGGGAATTTTATAGCTGTAAATTCATTGTATCTTTACTACAGTGTTTTTTCAATGTACCGTGGTTTCTGTAAATTGATAAAATTTTATCGTTGTTTTCCTTTTGAGGTGCATATTGTGTGCAGTCCAATAGAGCTACCACCGATTTTTTCCTTGGATATTCTTTCTTTTTAATCCATGAAATAATAACGATGTTAATTTACTGTGGTGGTCACAGGGAAAATCAAAGTTCATATATAATAATTAGAAACATGTCATTGGAGTTGACTTTGCATTTGAATTTTTTCCATGTATTGCAATTATTTTATGTATTACTTGGCCGACTGAACTTGGAAAAAAGCACAAATTAACTACTTCAAAATTTTTAATCTGAAAACTTTTTCAAAACATTTTCAAGTTACTTTGAACTGAATTCTTTAGTATGTAATAGCTTCAAAATAAACTATTGAAGTTTTCAGTTTGTTCTTAGGATGAGACACAGAATTTTCTGATACATACTTTTGACTAAATGTATTGCTGAAGCCACCTGTGAAGAAAAAATAGAAGTCTTACTAAAATAATATGGACTATGGAATGTTGGAATGAAGCTTTCTTTTCATCTCAAAACCCTTCTAATTTCTTTAAATTATCACAGTTAACAGTTGGTGCTACTTCTTAGTGTTGTGATTTCTCAGCAGGACAGTACTGACTGTAGGTCACACTAGGCAGCAAACACACTCTTCATATATTTAAAAGCACTGACTTTTTTGTTCTCCCATGAGACCCCAAGGAGCCCAGCCCAGTGTACCTTTGTCTACCATTTTCTCTTCCGATTCTCAAGACTGGCTCCAATGCATCTGAGGCATTACATTAATTTGGACTCTTTTTATCCATGACTTAAGCCAAAATTTTGAAAAATAAACCTCTTACTAAATAAATTTCTGAATTTTCCAATGGGAAGGGAAACTTTTCTCCTCTTTCTTCTTCTCTGTTCTCTCTGCAAAGATGAAGACTGCTTCAGGCATGCCTGAAGGTTTGTGGATGCTCACCAGCCTGCTATGTCTGGATCTGGCTCTGCATCCAGCTGCTTTTACGTTACTTCATATTGGGACAGGCAGTTTATCTTGGTGGATTGGAAATTCACATGCTGGGCACAGACTCTGTTGCTCAAGTTGTGACAAAAGGGCATAACTTCCTCAGTAGGAAATCTGACAAGACTATTAAAAGAAAACAAAACTAAACAAAAGAACCCCAAAGGCCCCCTGAAATATTGTTATGTTCGTATACCTCTGAAGAGCAAAAACCTGTATCTGTTTCAGGTAAAAGTAGAATTATCCACATATCTTTCAGTGCCTTATTTCCCTCACTTCTATTGAGCATTCTTTGAGTTTTGATTCAGTGTTTCTCTCAGGGCCTAATTTTTTTCATCTGGGACCTGGCTATCATACGTGAGATTGTATTTGGTTTACATGGCAAGGTTTTGGTAGTGAGGTGGACTGCAGGGCTGATTTCTGTGAGAGCATTCCAGAAGCTTTCATGTCCCACAGAGCCAATTCCAGCCAGTGCCAGATGGATTTTTCCAAGCTGAGTCTGTTCTGACCATGAAGAGTAACAGGTGAATTATTTCTCCTTGTCTTCCAGCCTTTTGTTGTTCCAGCTGACTAAGGGGAGTGATAGCAGCTGCAGTGGGCTCCTGACACTCAGCCAGGGTCAACCCACCACAGGGATTCTGTTTCAAGCCCTGTAATGTGTGCGCTCAGTTCCTCTCAGCTCTAGCTGGTAGAGCTGTTGAAAATTTTCCCTCACCAAAAGGAGTTCCTGTTGGCCCCTTAAAGAACTATCTGGATAGTTCTGTGATCCTGCTTTGGAAACTTTTATGTTTCATCTGTTGACAACCTAAAGAAAACTGATTGTATGGAAGCTGTAGGCATTTTGTTGTTCAGCTGTGCACTGCCAATTCCCTCACTGATTATTCCTGATATTCTGGTAGGATGCCAGAAACTTCTTTGGGTAGGCTTCCTTCTAAATATAAGAAATGAAGTGCGAAGTGTATGTTCATAATAATAATTAGTTTTTAGAAAATCCATCACCATTCTGTTCCTAGGAAGTTTAAGTGAGGCAGTGGAAAGAGCTGCACTGTGAGCATTGGAACAGGCTTTGCTCTGCAGCATCACTGTGTTGACATGCAACCTGGAGACTTTTAAAGGAAAGAATTCACTTTTTTAGCATTACAACCTGTAAATAGATATAAGTATATAGTAGAAAGGGCTGTTTTGCTCCTTCTATTACAAATAAATCTGAACCACACCCATATGCTAAAAAAAGTGGGGAGTGTTTTATGAATATGTCTCAGTTTCAGGAAAATTATATGAAGCAGAAAGATTTCTTTAAAGACTATGTTGTACATGTTTGTTCACAGTTTGGAGTTAAAATTTCCAATGGATTTCAGTTTTTAGAAGCTATAAAAAATGTATTGCTATTGTTTAGATTTGGAATTATAGCATGGCAATGATGGTTGAATTCTATTTACGAGAGTTTGGGATCAATTTAACAGTTGTTGATTGCACTTGCTAACTTCTAAAGTGGCTTAGAATAAGGCCTTTGCTAATTTTGTGAAACTAATATCCTACTTTTTATTAAGAAATTGTTTAACTGTTTCCCCTTCTTTTTAAACACTAGGTGATGCTTTTCCATGGACAATTAGTCTGCATCATTTCAGTATATATACTCTTCTTGGACAACAAATGACACTGAATTTGGTAGAACCAATGGGCTGTACTTCTACTTTAGCTGTGACTTCACAGAAACTGCTTGCTTCAGGACCAGAATCCAGACACTCGTTTGTTGTCTGCCTCCATGTCGACCTAGAATCACTTGAAATAAAATGCTCCAACCCCCAGGTTGGTACATTTAATTGATTTATGAAAGGAAATTTAAAATAACTGAAGTATGATTGATCTGCATTTTCATGAAGAGGGTCTCTATCTTATTTTTTTTTTTTTAACTGGGCCATCAAGATCAAGGTGCTTAGATTAAGATTTTCTTTGAAGCTCTCTCAACTTCTGTAATTTAAACTCTTCTCTAAATGTAGTAGCTGTAGTATAAATGCATCTTTTGGCTGATGGAGTGAAATGAATTGCAGATGTACCATTAAATGCTATGATACTGTTCTGCTGTCACTTTGGATTCTTATATTGAAGTGGTTTAATGTAATTTTTTTTGCTACATTTTCATGGAACTAACATTTCTTTGAACATAAAGTGGTTTTTAGGCAAGCAATGGTATCCAACAGTAGAGGGAAGAAAAAACAGATGAATACACATAAACAAAAGTTGCCACTACATTTGTGTTTATTAAAAGGAAAAGGTTTTTAGATTTTTTCAGAAAGTACACCTTGTGTTTTAATGACTTAGACCTAGTTTGGTGTACTTTCAAATACAGTAGGTGTTTAATAATATTAAAAGTGGAATATCATTGTTATGAGTGCAAGTCTTACCTAAATGTGAGTTGAGAACTAAATAGAAAATAGAAATATAGAAAACAGAAAAACACGATATTTTTCAAACATTCCTATTGAAGTGTAATTGAGTAATTTGTTTTGCAAACTGTAAGAAAATATTTCCGCTAAAATTGAAACTCTAAGCTCCATCTAAATCATATTATGAGCATAGTGAAATGTTAAAATGAAGCTGTAGTATGGAATATTAGATCAAATGTTGTTGTCTTAAAGGGTGTCCTTGTACTCTGTGATGTTTTTAATTTACTGAAGTATTCTGTTGACTGAAAGGATCTGGACAAATTATTTGAGTTCATTAAAGGTTCTTGGACTGTCTTTTCTCCTTTACATGAGACTTACTTGTCCTTTCTGCTTTACTTATGCAAAAGGGAAGAAAGAAAGGCAATCAGTCTTCTTTAACCAGATGTGGAAGGATAGAAGATGTAAAATACAGTTCCATAAACAGCATTTCATAGTTATAAATTCACAGTATGAAATTTGATTCCTTGCAATGACAGGCTGTAATTTTTCTGTAGATGACAGCCTTAAACTAGGTGAAATTTGGTGAATTTGTTAAATGGTAGCAAAGGTGAAGTATTATATTTATATGACTATTATGATTTCATATAAAGCCATGTTCTGATGATCGTAAATAAAGTAGATACTTCCAGTGTGCAAAATTGCCAGGATGTTGTCTTTGGTTGTAGTTTTCAATTTTGTAGTAATGTGTTATTTTTAAAGTCTAAAATGCTGTTACATATTGAGCTTTACAGATTTTGCCAAGTAGTTAGTGGGTTCTTATTGAGCTATGTGTGGTTTTGCTGAGGAGGGAGTAGAAGCAGTAAGAGGGGGAAGCCTTTTTTAACAAATACTGGCAGCTATCCTTTTTGTCCTACTATTTTTCTTCTTAAAATAATTAATATATATGCTTAAAAATACTTAGAAAGGAGGGAGGCCTTACACTTACACTAGCCCTTCTCATATAATCAGAAATATATTTGTAAAATATTGAGCCTATACATTTGAAAGCATGCAGCCAACAAGAGAAAAATGAATCCTTCCATTTTATTCAGAAACAACCAATGGAATGAAATAAGGTGTGTTAAAAATAACCAAAGGTGTGACTTTATCTGAAGTTTTGAAATTTTATTTACATGTAGACACATGCCATCATTTTGTTTTTATGAGGCTTTGTTGTGAGGCATTTTGGCATTTTTTACCTTTTAACATAACTCTGTGAAAATCATCTCCCTCTAATGAAAGTGCGCCTTTTTGTTTGCTGAACTTGGTCCCTAGTTTCAGAGCGGGATAGAGTATTTTGATCACACTGCTTGGTTGGCTGGTTGCTTGTGATGTTTGAGACATGCCTGTTGCTGACTGAAATAGCCACTGTTTCAGAGTGGCTGGAAAGATTCTAGCCTGAGCAATTTTAAAATGTCTCCCTGACAAGATAAGTAATTGTTAGCTTTAATGATTATGACTACTGCAACCCCAGTAAGATTTCAACCTTTCAGGGTTGGATTAACTGATGAAAAACCTCTTCACCTTGTATATGAGCATATATGTAAACACAAGTTCCTTCTTTTGCATTACTTTGTGCCTTTAGGAACAGTAGCATAAATAATTTTCTGAAAGCCCTGCTTCATTAAAACAAATATAGCTTAAGTTGTCCTTTGGTTTCTTGTAAAAAAATTGGGACATGGGGAAATTGCAAGCATGTATGATTTGGATATCTGCCTGTATCCTATTAAATTTCTAGAGATACTTTTGCCAGCAAAGTGTCAACACCGGTTAATGTTATATTAGTCAATCAATTGGGTGGACATTACATTAGTTAGTTACATTAGGACATTAGTTGAGCTTCCTGCACTACATGGAAAACTGGGAAAACATAGAAATTTGAATTTGGTAATTTAAAGATTACCAGTACCTATCAGAGTGCTACAGACACAAAATACTTTTAGAGCATAACTGAAAGAGCTTTTCATCACAGCCAGAGTTGTTTGGCTGTAGATTGCTCTGTGTATGAAGAAAAAAATGTACTGTGAAGTTTATCTCCTCTAAGGAAAATTCTGTCAAAAGATTATATGACCTGCTCTGTGTAAACCTTGAAACTTCAAAAGCAAATCCAAGATGAATTAAGAAGGTTTTTATAAAATTTCAGCATTTCACCTCTTGAGAAAGGACTGTACCATTTACTTGGAGGCTTCATCACACATTCTCACGCACAAAATCAAGCACTGTTTTATATCAAATATAGATTGACAGCAGTGTTTTTCTGCATCTGTTCTGCCCACATAAGAAGCCAGCTTTGTAGAGCAGAAGTGTCCTGAGGCTTAAAGTTCTTATAAATATGAGAATTCCAATTTTTTATAATGGCAAGTTGGGTATGGTATCCAGCTGTGAATCTGCTTATATATTATTTTCAGTTTTCACTGACCTTTTTTTATACAGTATGTTCCAATATGTTGTCATACAAATTCCATGATTAATGCCTATTTACAAAAACTTGTGTAAATATCTTAGAACTGAGTCAAACAATGTGCAAGTTAAACAGTGTGTTTCTGAATATTGGAATGACATATGCCAGGAGACTTTTGAGTTTGGTAGTGAGTGTTCTTCCAAAGCTAGATGAGTTTCACATGCTGCATGGGATCAATATTTTAATACAATCTGAATGATTAATTTTGCATTGTTGATATTTTGTGAAGTTTGCATTTGCCTTTTTCTAGAGACCGTATCTATACAGATGAAATATATGATAAATTACTTTTGCTTGTTGAAATTTATGTTAGTAAAAGTTATACAAGACCATGTTATTGCTTATGTTTTTGAGCTATGTATCACATGTTTGCACAAAGCACAGGTAATTTTTATCAAAGTCACCATTCTGTAACTGATACTAATTACTTTATTTGCAATGTAGCTGCTTATTAGAACATTATAAATGGTGAGGAGTTCAGTTCTGCTATATTATAACTCTCAGTGGAGGACTTTGCTGATTTTTTCTTCACCTCATTAAGAAAAGCTTCATGCTAAAATTTTTATTTTTTCCTTTAGGTGCAGCTTCTGTACGAACTGGCTGAGATCACAAGTAAAGTTTGGAATAAAATTCAGAGGAAAGGAGTTCTATATCAGTCTGTATCTTCTGTCTATACTGAAACCATGACAGGGCCTGCTCCTCCTAGTTCTCCAGTTAAAAGTAGCATTGGTACCATTCCACCAGATACCAGCACATACAGTCCATCTGGTGACATTGGAACTACTACAGAGGTATTTTCATTTCATAAAAAAATGTGTTGTGTGAGTTCTTACCTACAAAATGTAGTGGTGTGCAGTCAAGGAAGAATCAGGAAAATCAAAAAGAGTAGTAGAGTCCAGGTGGAAAGTAGCTTTGCCCCAGTAAATGAATGAAGAATACTTTATTACTCACTTTGGTGGAACAAAAGAGACCCATTGATGTATTGCACCTATATTTATTGGTTTTTGTATTGTTTCTCTTTGAAGTGAATGCATATTTTTTTGTGTCATAAAGCTGTGGTTAGTGTGTTCCAGTCAAGAAGCTGTTTTTTAAGTCCAGAATTAGTAGAATAGTAAGTGTTGTTTTTAAAATACCTGGGATACCTGTGCTGTCTGTGAGCCGTTCCAAGTAGTCAGCCAGTCACTCTGATGCCTGGCTCAGTAGAGAGCTGCTGTGTGTAGATTGCATTGGCAACCAGGAGAGGTACTGGGCTATGAAGGCTTCCAAGGTTGGCATTGCACCCAGCCGTGTGCTCACCCCACCTCCTTCCAGCCACTGTTGAACCACTGCCATCTATGAACTACTCCTGGAGCTCAGTCCATTCCCCTGTCTCAGCTGTCCATGTCCCAGAGTGCTTTTGTAGCTCTGTCACATAAGCATTTGGGTATGCATCTTCAGATCTAAGATTTATGTATTTCTGCTTCCTTAATTTACAACACCGTGTAACTGCCTGGAGCAATCTGGTACCTGATCATAATGTCTGTATTTACCTGAGTCTGTAAAATGTTGGAGGCAGGGGGAGGAGTCCTGTGCCATACTGAGGAAAGCAGTCCAATTCTTTTATCAGCATGAATGCTGTGTTAAACTTCACCCATGAGTATCATTAGCCATAAGGCACAGGTAGCTGGTATAGAGTAGAATGGGCGGTCCCAGGAAGCTGTGCAACTGTGCAGGCATAGTATTTGTGGTTTTCTTAGTGCCCCTGTCAGGTTCACAAGTTAAAATAGTGAGTTGACCTTGTTTGTGCTGAGTGTCAGAAATGCATCAGATGAATTGAAGGTATACCAAGGTGTCACATGTATGCAGTGCTTTGTTTTTAACATAACTGTATTAGAATGTGGAGAGACTAGAATGAGAGAGAGAGAATGTGGATGACTGGCTTTTAGTCTCAGGATAACCTCATCAACTTTAGGGACATCTCCTAGAAGAGTTCTGGAACATAGGCAGTGATAAAATAATTGGGATTCTGAGTGCAATACATATTCAACATTTGGCCAGGGTTGGTCTAGCCCTGTGTATCATTTATATTAATTCCCAAGTTTGGAGAAAATGAGATGATGATTGCTAGTGCCTAATTTTTATATGCATCATATACACACCCCCCCACACCCACCAAAGAGGCAGCTGACATTAAAAGAGTGTTTGAGCTAGAGTTTCAGTTCTTAAGATGTTTCACTAAAATGTTTCTAGATTATTTGAATAGCCTTGGTTTTGGTGTATATCTATGTGTGCATGATTTCAATTGTGAAAAATACTGCTTTGGATACAGAACTGAAGGTAAGCAATAATATTAAGAAAACAATATGGTCACAAAAATAGTGGTTTTTCCCTCACATCAAATTAATTTCTTATTACTGTCAGGAGACCACCAGCTTTATAAATAACAATTTGGTTTTGATCATCTATAGAGACAGCAGTGTTTGGAATACATGTTGTACTTAGAGCGTTAATTGAAACTATTTGGTAATTGTTTTAATCCATATGTTGCCAAGATTGTTTTGGTAATATGGGTCAAAGTTCAGTATTCATATCCTACCCTTTCGTAAAGTGTTCTTCATCATTTATTTAATTTTCTCTGAATTCTCAACAGATGTTATACACTAACTAGAAAATTGCTTCTCCTAAAAATTCTAAATTATCTAAATGAAATTTAGTGAATTAGTGAACAAGAGACAATATTAGAATTGAGTGATTAAATAATAATATATATTTCTGTAGGTTTGACTTTGGAAATTATCCAGAAGTTTGTTTTTTATCAGACTCTGTATTTTGTTTATATATTTCTGTAGTTCTGAACCTTGAAATCTTGAAATCTGTCAAACAAAAACAGCTTTTCTGCTATATCTATGGGATTTTTTAAGTTTAGAGATTTAATAGTTACTGTGTTTTGCTCTGTGGGAGACACATGATTATTTTTAAAGCTTCTTTCAGCTGCAACAGGCTAGCTATAAAAGAAGAAAGTAAACTTGCACAACTATTTGTATCAAATAGCAAAAAAATAAAAAAAAAAGGTAATTTGTTTATGTGATTTGTGAATGATTTATATTTTAAGCTGTGTCTAATTCTTTTCTTGCTGACAACTTGATGTGAGCAGCACGGTCTGATGTGGATAAAGCTATCTAGTCATGCTGACTTTTAGCCTGAGTGGTGGTAGGACAGGGAAGCATGAGTGAGAGGCTTAAGTACTGGAGGCTGGAAACAGTTAATCATTTTTACCATCCCTGCCTTGGAAAAGGTAAGGTAGTACAGACTACAACAGGCCACTTGTTACTGTTTACCTAAGTACAAACAGTGGTAGAAGTGTTTAGTCCTTGGGGAAACTTAGTGATTGAGCAAGAACGTAGAAGTTATTTTGATAAGGCATAGCATTAGTGTGGCCAAACTGTGATCATCCCTGAGCTTTACGCAGGCTAAGGATGAAGGCCTCATATGTTTGGATCTTCCTGATGAACAAAGATAAATTCTGGTAAGAAAATAAACTCAGTATATTGGTCAATTTGCAACAATTGGTAAAGAATTAAATTGTGTATTTTAGGACTTGGCATGAGAAGTTGTGGGAAAATAGTTCAGGGTTTCTGACTCTGGCTTGATTTTTCAGTAGATCTGGAAACGGAGCAGAGAAGTAATGCATAAACATATTTAACAATAACATGCTGGGTGCTGAAAATCCAAAATTAAAATTGCAACTTCATGAGAAACAAGAGCACAGTCTTTCTTCTCACTTCAGTTTATTAGTTTTTTACTGCAAAGAATTACTGTGAATTTGAGCTTATTTCGGGGGAAAAAATAAAAAATGTCAGCTACTGCAGACCATCAGTTTTTCAGGCCCTTTGACTCTGCCTAATGGTTGTGGTTACAGTACCATGAACAGAAGGCTAAGAAGAAATGCAACCAGTTCCATTTTTTTGCCTCCCAAAGGACAGTCATACAACATGTTATTAACATGCCTTCAGAGGAGCATCTGCCACTGACAAAGGGAATGGGCCAATTCAGCTGTTTACAGGGTTTCATTACAAAAAAAAAGTATGTAGTATGTTGAAGTTAAAGCACTGAAGTAGGCAGAGGCAGCATCGTATCACCTCTAACAGGGCCAGGGTGTTGAGCAGCTGGGGGTGTCTTTGACAAGCCCTGCAGCTGCCATGGCTGCTATCAAGAGATCTTTGCTGACCGCCACAGCCAAACCCAGTTTTAGCTACACTGAGCTGCTGCCAGTCCAAGGGGGAGTATGGGCAAGTGACCTGGAGTACTGGTGGGAATGCAGTAGCCCAAGTACAGAACTGTAGGGTGAGATGAAGCTCAAGTGAGTTAAGGCCCTTGGTAGGATTTTCAGGCTCTGTGGTAGAAGGAATTCCAAACCCTGGAAATTATGCATCCAGTTTCCAATGATACATCTGGGTTGGTATCTGTAACTCTAGGGTAAATGCAATTCTTCTGTAATCTCACAAATACTGTTTAAGTAACCTTGTGCCAAAATTATCAACTGAATGATTCTCTGATAGGCGTTGTACATAATTTAATATCTTCAGAAAAATAATCCTGAAGAAGTGTGGGAAAATTACAGCGTGACTTTTCTTCAGAGTAAAGTTATCTTTGTACTCAAACCACTAAATAAAAATAGCTCTGTGAAAAAAAAGCTCTAAAAAATGCATGAAACAGCTGAAAACATTAAATTACAGAAAGAAAAGAACCCAGTTATAAAATTCAGAAATTACCATGGTGGCAATACATATTTGCTGTCAAGTGTACCCCTTTAAGTTTAATCAGCTATTGTTTTCTTCTTTTTTAACTATCAGAAATGTAGAGACCTGCCAAAATTTTAGTACAAAGTTGATTTTCATTCAAAATACATTTTGGAACATGTTGTGGAGGGGGGATGGGGTTGTTGAATATGAGAAGGAGACCGTCTCTCATTCCCACCCATTCCGTCACAGTTTGTAAGTTACAGTTTGGCAAAATGAAGAGTGTTTATTGTACAAACAGAAGTTGAAAAATTCTTTAGATTAAAAAAGAAAATAAAAAAAATTTACTTTTTATAGAATGCAAGGAATAGAGAGCCACAAATGGGTCCACAGAACATCAGCATTGTCAAGAACATTGGCTTGAACTGTAAATAAACATGTACTGGCTTTTATTTCTTGGTACTTTGCAAAATCCGTCTGAAGATCTCAGCACAGGGAAATTCTCTTTGGCTGGCTCCTTCCTTCAGATCTGCCCTGCTGAAGGGATCTGCCCAAAGTACTGTTGACTCTATCATCTTTTTGGAGCATGTGAGGTTTGATGAGAAGTGTCATCTCAGACACAGTGAAACTCCAACACTGAAGCATCATCTTTTAGGGCAATCATTCAAAAGCAAATTACAAAGGTGTGGGAAGTTATTGAAAGGCAGAGTGTCAAAGGAGCTGTATGGATGCTATACAGAAGAAACAAATAGAAAGGAATTTATTGTCAGAAATTGAAAGAATCAGAGCTAATGCCATTCTCATGGCATGAAATCTCAAGTCATGAAATAGGTTGAGACTTCTCTGATGTCCTCAGAGAAGGAGGACTATGCAAATAAAGACTCTTTAAAATGGGAGATAGGATTCTCAAAGCATTGTGGTTTTGGAAGGATCCATTTTTCACTCCTACCTTTCATTGCTTTTCAGGTGAGCAGGGTAGTTGAAAGGAGGCAGGCTAGTGTTTGCAGAGGGTTGACAGGAATAGTTGAGGACAGCAAAATGGCTGAGTTATGTCACTGTCTTATTACTGGAGCCTGCCATTTCAGGAGAAGCAATAAGGTCTAACACTGGTTAGCACTGGAGAAGTGACTGCTCTGCCTACATCCTTTCTGATGCTGGGGACCTTGCAGGCCTGACACTCTCCAAGGTTGCTTTCCCCATACCTTTTCATTCCAAGGACAAGTGCTGGCATCCTTGAAGAAAACTGAATTTTGTTTACAGTGTTGAAAAGAGATTTACTCTCATGTCACTGTCAGTGCTGCCTCATAGGATATTTAAGTGACACTGGAGAGAGTAGAGCTCTTTGTGGAGACAGTAAGAAATATCTTGGGAGGACATGGTTATCAAATAATGTTAAGAGATGGGAATCTGGACAAAAAAAGCAAGAGGCAGGAAGGATTTTGCTCAAGAAGCAAATAGGAAATACAAGTCGCAGTTTGTGAGAAAGGAGTTAACCTCTGCCCTGAACATGTAATTTAGCAGGTTCTACCACACTTTTTTTGAACTCTGATTTGGGAGTTAGATACATCATAGTGAAGTGAGCTATTTGAGGTTTCTCCAATGAGATGTCCTGCTGTGGTAGGCATTAATTATTATTAGATACATAGCAGGAGACAGGCCCTGCTGTATTTAATAATTAAATTTGCAGATAGAGTAAGAATAAAACAGAAGAGGACAAGTAAACAAAACACTAAAAGCAAGAGGGTCGTGCTAAATCTGTGACTTGGAGAGAGATTTCAGGTGGGATTGTGTAAGGAAGTTAGCTCACTTAGAACGTGATACGGAGCAAATGCTTTTTGGACCTCTGGAATCTAACAGTTTTTCAAAAGATGGTCACCTATGGCTCTCCAGTTAATCTGTTCAGAGCTGTGAGCAATAATGCCTTATATAAGAAATATAAAAAGAAATAGAAATATACTTGTTTTCTTTCATGCATTTTGATTAACACAAAGGCATTGTCACTATAGACGATTGAAGGTGAACTTGATCGTAACTTTCGTTGCAACATTTCATATTAGATCTGTTGAGCTGGTCCAGGAATTGTAGTCTCATGTTTAGGTGTTATTTTCTAGAAACATACATTGGTTAGTTGCACAAGCTTTCCCTTCCTCATACGAATGAGTATCTGGAATACTAAATTCTCTGAGTCAGCTATTGACAACGTAGATGGTTTCTTCTCAATTGTGGTGTCACTGAGCTTTTCAGGGGCAAAGGTTACTACATGCAGATAAAGTACCTTTGCTATTTCTCTCTGTGTTCTCTTACAGTTTAGAAAACCTATAATTAAATTGTAGGCCTGAGTTGAATGAAAATGTGATTTGTCAACATAAATGCTTCCATATGAGCTATGTCATTAGGTTTGGGCTAGGTCCTACCCATCCAGAAAATAGATTGGTAACAGAACTTCCATACTTGCATATTCCAGCCTTGGACTGCGGAATGAGGCAAGTACTGTCAGATTTTAATTTTGCTTCTGAAAACAAGCTTTCCTGGACATCTGAAGTTGAAATGAGTGCATTCTGAATCTTGTCTGACAAGTTAAAATGGTTTCAATGGTTGTACAGCTTACTGTGTAGATCTGCCTTCTGGGGTGTCTTGCATAGAAATAATCTTGGCTTTTAATTAGATAAATCTCAAACATGTTGTTCATCATAATTTACAATGCCTGATCCCACAAACCTTCAATGAAAGATAAGACTTCGGGTGTTTATTGGTCTGTTAATCTTAGAAACAACTTGGTTTTAGTGGATCAAAGTGACTAAACCTTTTTCCTTTCTTTGTGCTTGAATGAAGAAAACTTGCAACACATGGTGGAGTTACAAGCAGAGATGCTCCTGAATATTCAGTAGCTTCTGGATGACATTAGTGACTTATGTGTCCCTTGCATTCAATTTAATAGGCTGTAAACACTGGGGGCTGATGAGCAGTTACATGTTTGCATCTTTCTTTCCCTATCTGCAAGATCCAGCAAAAGAGCAGGATGAGGTCCTTTGGCTGGTAAATACTCAGAACTGCATTGCTGTAATAAGCCCACATAACAGAATTTCCAGTATAGCTTTCATTTGTCATCATCTTCCCCTAAAAACATTAATCTTTGTGTTGTCTTTGTTGAGGCCTTAAAATTTTAGGGAAGGAACAGAGATTGTTGATGGCACACAAGCTTCTACAAGCTCATTTGTCAACATTTCATTTAAGAATATTACAAGTGACAATCTTTTTTTAAACAACAGAAGTATTTAGAAAGTGGCAAATAAAATATTTCCAGTTCCTACAAAAAGCTAATATTTTCTGAAATCTTTTTTCCAATAAATCACAGGGAAGCACATACAAGTGGGAAAGAAATAACCCAATTGCAGAGTGTACATAGTGTAGGTGTTATAGCCTTACTGGGTGGCTCTCCATTTGGTACTTCCAGGGACCCTTCCTTTGCCTTTCAGACATGTGCAAACCTCCATATCCCTTTTTCTATTGCATCTCCAAACATTCCTATTAGCCTTTATTTTAAATGGATGATAGTGTTTCCATGGTGTAGAGTTAATAGGGAATAAGGCAAGTGTGCTATGCCAAGGAAACCTGTCATAAACCCTTAGAGTTTTACCATTTAGTCCTCTCCAAAGTCTGTTATCTCCATCAAAGAAAATGGAAAAATATTTTGTTTATCTTTTCCTGGTGTTATAAATGGCTTAATTCAAATATAATATTTGGGAATCTGTATTTCTGTATTGTAGTTTGTGCATCCATATCAGTTGAGATAGGAAAAAAAACCAGAAGTGGTGAATAATTATTTTGGGGTTTTTTTGGGTTTTTTTTGGTGAATACTTATTTTTTCCTCAGCTATTGGTTTTGTTTCATAGGGTGATTCTCTTCAGGGTGGCGATGATTCTCCATTCTCAGACTCCATTACGTTGGAACAAACAACAAGTAATATTGGAGTCTCAAGTGGACGTGTCAGCCTATGGATGCAGTGGATGTTGCCAAAAATTACTGTAAAATTGTTTGCTCCTGATCCTAGAAATAACGGCACAGGTATTCTGCATTTTTTCTGCCTAACATACTGTTCTAAAATCCAATCAGCACAGCCTATTTTACAGGACACTATTAGCTATTCAGAGCCTGTATCAACATTACTGAACACTATAACACAGAAGTAATGGGTTGGAGCTGTATTTTAAATAGCAAAATTGGCAATTTTTTCTTTTTTTTTATTTTTTTCCCTAGGAATTATGCTATAAATACCTAAACTAGAAACCCCATATATGTGTTTCACAATGCATTTGTATAAAGAGGTTTGGATTCTAGCGTGACACTTGAAAAGAGCTTTATGAGAAAACTCTGAGTAGAAGTAGCATCATCCTATTTATGAAGTGTGGTGTCTCAGATATATTTCTTGCTTAAAATCCCTCAAGTTTCAGATTATTAACTAATAATTTTTATTTTCTTTGACTATTGCAGAAGTCTGTATTGTTAGTGAATTAGAGGATCTCAGTGCCTCAGTGGATATGCAGGACGTCTATACCAAAATCAAATGTAAAATAGAAAGCTTCAATATTGACCATTACAGAAACAGGTAATTCCTGTGAGTTGTGATGCTTTAATTTCAGGCTGAAAGATAAAGGCAGGTGGTGTTTTGGGTTTTTTTCTTCTTAATTCTTAATTTAAGGTAGATATTCAATTTCATTTAAATTATTTTAACCTTTTAAGTAATAAAAATCACGATTCTGTTTCCTCAGAATTAGATCTAATTCCAAAGAAGCATATAGAAATCATTGCAAATTTTAGACAGTGTTTTTTTTACACTTACTGCTCTCTTGATCCATTAGACCAAAATAATTCAATTTAGCTTAACTTTAGAATGGGAAATTCCTGAAATATTGGTTCATGATGTGTCATGATGTACCATTATTTAATGATTTATGCTATGTTACTCTTACACATTAAAGAGAAACAACTCAGTTTTTCAGAAACATCTGTTGCTGTGCCAAAGCAGGAGTTAAATTTGTAATGAAGAGAGCTAAGCTGGTGATCTCTGTTGTGTCAGATGGCACAGTGCTGTGCAGACACCTGAGTAAAACCTCAGTAATTAATCTCAAGCAGTACATCACCAATACCATGTACATTCAGGGCTGGTAGCTAGGCTTAGTCTGCCTTGCCACATCACAAGTCCTGCTGTCTGTGTATGCTACACCAACATGACTGTGTCACTTAACACCCAGGCACACGTCTCTGTAGACAGACTGCATGTGCCATCTTTTAGTTTGTATTGGCCATTAACTCACCAGCCTTGACAGAGAGAGAACCTTCTAGTCTTTGATCAGAGAGGGTAACATTTGCCATAACAGATCAACAAATTCCATTATGAATGAAGGGATTAAGAGAAAATAGAACAGTTTGTTACTCCTTGAGAGGAAAAACATAGTTAAAAGCTTCCTATTGGAAATAACTAAAATATTTAGGAGCAAAAATCATTTTGACTTGGGAACCAATGTCTGCAAGGTCTTATTGAATGCTTATTGTTCCCTATGTACAATAGCAAGGCGATTTTGTATCAATTTAGCAAGGTTACCATCATTTCTTTATGATTTTATTCCTGATGAGCTGTCTTAAAAATCTTTCCATGTCTTTTTGCCCAAGTTACAAATGCAGTTATTGTTTGTATATATAATATTTGCTAATTAAATTTTATAGTTGTTTTTTTTTTTAAAATATTTTAAAATCCTGTCACAATGCAGGAGTGTGGAGTATGTCCTGGGCACAGCATCACCAGCCAGACAAGGGAGGGGATTGTCCTGCTCTGCTCTGTACTGGGGCAGCCTCACCTTGAATGTTGTGTGCAGTTTTGGGCACTACAGTATAAGAAAGTTAAACTACCAGAGAGCATCCAAAGGAGGGCAACAAAGAAGGTGAAGGGCCTTGAAGGGAAGCCATGTGAGCAGGGTCTGAGGTTACTTGGTCTTAGTAGAGGACCCTGAGAGACCTCATTACTGTCTACAGCTTCCTCATGAGGGGAAGAGGAGGGGCAGACACTGATCCCATCTCACTGGTGACCAGTGACAGGACCCAAGGGAATGGCCTGAAGTTGTATCAGGGAAGGTTTAGGTTGGATATCAGAAAAAGCTTCTTCACCCTGAGGCTGGTTGGGCGCTGGAACAGCTGTCCGGGGAAGTGTTCACAGCATCAGCCTGATGGGGTTGAAGAAGCATTTGGACAATCCTCTTGGGCACATGGCGTGACTCTTGGGGATGATGCTAAGCAGGGCTGGGAGTTGGACTTGATGATCCTTGTGAGTCTCTTCCAACCCAAGATATTCTATGATTCTGTGAAATCCCAGTAGCCAGCTCCTCTTAACAGACTTTGGGGAAAACAAACAAAGTTTAAAAACCCCAACAAATTCAAAACTTACTCCACTTGCCAAATTGTCACTGTTCTCATTTACAGTTTCTAATCTATTTGGAGTACCTTTCCTGTGTGTAAATCTCTGTGAACTAAAACCAAAAGCAGAGAATAGACAAGGTGAACTTTCTGTCTTCCAGGCCAGGGGGAGATTGGCAGTCAGGACATTTTGAAGGAATTTTTCTACAATGCAGAGAAAAACTTTTGGTGAGATTTCTGTAGTAAACTAAGGTGCTTTCCTGAATGACTATTCTTAAGCAAATTACTTTACTTTGTTCTCCTGTATGTTAAAAAGAATGATTACAAGAACTGTAGTATAAGGCACATTTTAACACTTAAAAAATACTTTTTTCTAAATAGTACTGATTTTGTAACATATGAGTACAGCTTTACATTCACAGCATATTTGTTCTTGTAATCTTTCTCCTCCTTGTTATATTAAAGCTGTCTGCTGAAAATCCAGGGTAAGTCTCTTTTCTACATGCAGGATTTTACTTTTATTCTCACGTGTCTTGACCGCTTGCTGTAGGTTGTCCTTTCACATAAAATTTTGCAGTTACCTTTTTTAATCTCCCTTTTCATTTGATCTGATTGAATTTCAGCCTTTTTAGGAAAAGATTTATCTTGAAGTTAGGGCATAGGTTTATCTTGAAGTTACAGCGAAACATGCAAGCTAAATGTAAACAATTTTTTTTTTTTGCTTATAGCAACTATTTTTGTTTCTTTTTTGTTTCTTCCTGTCTTCCATGACTCATTCATTACCTCAAGCCTTGGGGAAGATTCTTGGTCTCTGGGGGAATATGGAGGTGTGTTCCTTTCCTGTACTGACAAGCTGAACAGACGTACCTTGTTGGTTCGACCTATCAGCAAGCAGGATCCTTTCAGCAACTTCTCTGGCTTCTTTCCCTCTGTAAGAATCTTTTTTTAAAATTTTGAATACAGAACTTTCACTAATAAATGCCAGCAAAAAAAGAAGAAAAACCCTTAAATTAATATCTTGTCATCTAATTTATATTTTTTTTCTGTACAGAATACATTTCTTGCTTATATTAATTATGTAATTTGTGTTATTTCCGCTTTATCCTTTAGTAATAGTTGCCATTTTTTCGTAGATAAGGGAACAAGGGGTGATGGTTCACAACCCTGTACATAACAACACACCACTGAAGTCAGTGGGATTCGTTTTTATTAGAAGTGAGCACACACAGTACGTTTGAAAGCCAAATATATAAAAGCCAGTGGAAAATGCTGCATTTTTTAGTGTAATTCTGATATCTACTTAGGGATTTAAGTACTTGGTATTACTGCAGTATATCATTATGCAGCCTTATAAAATTGTTTCTCTAATTATGATAATGCAACAATTAATAATTCCATATTTGAGTCTTTCTTTTAAAGGCTTGGAAGATTCCTTGCTGATTCAGAATATCTCAGTGTGAGATATTTTAGCCATTTTCTTCTTCTCTCTTTATCCCTGAAGAACTTTGTGTTATGACATTGGCCTCTTTATGTGGGTCTATGGAATTATTTTATGTTAGTGAAAGTTCTGGATGGTCTGATTTATTTTCATCATGAAAACTGATTTGAAATACTTTCTCTTATTCTGTTTGTTTCAGTTTTTATAGTAAATTAATGACTAAAAAACTTTCGAAGGTAATATGGAAACTGTCCTATACATCTTGTGGGAGCTAAGCATTAAATTGTCACCTTTAGCAAGACAAATCTGTCTTAAGTAAAGGGATCTGCTTTTTTTAAAGTACAGTGCAATGTATAATGAAATTACGTGCTTTAGCATGTGGCACAGCTATTTTCATTAAATACTCAGAGATGATGAAGCAAGACCAGTTCAATACTTATTTATGTGTCTTTGGGTGGTTTATACACCCTGTAGGGATGTGGTGAAGCTATCTTAGCACCCGAGTGGTATTTTAACAGCTGTGGTGTCTGCACCTACAGAAGGAACAATGCAAGGAGAGTGGGATCTACAAATGTTTTAAATGAAGGAGGAATCAAAATATATAACTATATTAAAAGATATCAGAAAGATTTGGTAAATTTAGTTGCTTAAATAAATGTTTTGGTTTTTTTACTGATTAGATGTGAGTTTCATGAAACATAAGTAATTAGAAAGGAAAAACATGTTCAGAAATTCATAGTTTTAGATGACCCAATGCAGAGAAATGTGGACAAGCTGTGCATACAAAAAATGAAAGGTGTTTTGGTTTTTTTTTGCTGTAGAAAGCTACTAAAAAATATAGAATCCTAAATAACCAGAAATATGGTAAAAAAATGAATGTTACGTGTAGATTTTTGCAGCAGTTGATTTATTTATTTTTCCTTGAAACAGACAACTGCAAAACTTTTAGATGGTTCACACCAGCAACATGGATTTCTTTCTCTCACTTATACCAAAGCTGTGACAAAAAATGTCCGGCACAAACTGATATCAAGAAACGAACGAAGAACATTCCATAAGCTGTCAGAAGGTCACACTGATGGTTCTCCTCATTTTCTCCATGAGATCCTTCTCTCTGCTCAGGCCTTTGATGTGGTTCTCTGTTTTCCTTTGCTAAATGCAATTGCAAGCATTTTTCAAGCCAGGTTGCCAAGAAGTCAAAAGGAGAAAAGGAAGTCACCAGGCCAGCCAATGAGGACTCATGCTCTGACCTCCCGCAACTTGCCTCTGATTTATATCAACACAGGAGTAATAAGAGTCTTCTTTCCTAAAAACGAGGAAGATCATCATATTGCAGAAGGTACAGTGTTTTTTATTTGAGATTTTTTTGCTATTCAGTATTGTAGACAAATACTTCTAGTTCCATCACTGACGATTGCTTCAGTTTTAACAGAGTTAGAACTATCGTCTAATATTCATGCTACTTCTCTGCACATTTGCTCAAAATTTCCTTTAGCTATTTATTTGATCCATACTTTGGTACCTATGGAGTCTGCATTTAAAATGTGATTATAAAGACTGGTCAAAAATTGTGGAAAGAGAACTTAACCCAGTTCTGCAGTGGTGATGCTGTGTCAGCTTTCATTACACTGGTATCAGTGCAGTGTTCCATAGACACTGTTCTAGCAGTGGAGTGTAATCAGGGAACCTTAGCTCTTGTGGGCATAGACACCTGGAAAAAAGCAAAGTATATAGTTTAGTTTGGAAAATATTATTAAAATGTACCTTGTGGATGATGCCCAACAGATGATGCAGTTTAGCATTCTAGTTGAAGCTATTCCAGCTCTCTTGTGCAAGGGGCTTTCAGGTATTTACAGGGTTTGGGTAGTGTAAGATGTTCATAAATAGCGATTTGATCGATGGATAATACTTCTTCTCTAAGATCTTGTTTTCCCCTTGTAGGTAAATATACATTTCCATCCCTATTACAATCTTCATATATAAATAGAGATGCTGATGTTAAAATTAGACCATGTAACAGCTAATAGTACATTCACTTCTCACAATTCTTCTTGAGATTATAAGAAAGTAGTGTTTTACTAGTATCATGATACATTTACACAAGTTCTGTAGGTATGGAGCACTTTTTTTACCATTAAGTACAACACATACTATAATCCTAAGAGTATAGTCTTTAGATTTTTCTCATAACCTAATAACAAGAAATGCACACAGTAAGAATTTACATAGATCATTTTTTTGCCAGCATCCTCTACAATTTTCCAACTGGGATTGCTGAAAACACAGGAAGATAAAATTAGACTAGCTGTCTTGGCAAGAAAGAATTATGATTCTAGTTGGAAGGGAGTTCTAGGGCATGCTGTCAAGGAAATCTTTTGTAAAACTATGTTTTTGTAGCTCTGTAGCTGTATAGTTCATTAAAAAGAAATTATAAAACCAGATCTTTTTACTGTTTCTTGCGTAAGAATGCCTGCAAGGAACAGAATTGCCGTGGTTAAACAGTCAATGTAGGAAGAAAAACTGTGTACTTTTAAAGCAAAATGCTAAAGATTATCCTAATTAATAAGAAAGCCAGCTACACTCTTCCATTGGAAAATTCTGAAATAGCATCAGTATGAAAATTGGTACTGTTCTTTCATTTTTTCTTTCACCCCAGATTTTCCCAAAGTCTCATTTGTTTATGAACGTGAAATAAATTGCTTCTCTTCTCCTGCTTATTGTCTTCAAGAACAATAGGAATTAGAAACAATAAGGAGCAAGAGTTGAATAAGACCCACATCTCTGTTCTGTTAGGTCAGAAGAGTGTTATGTCTTCTGGAGCTATGCCTCCATAAGATCCTCATTTATCATTTATTGACTAGGAGAGATTTTCAGTCCAATAAATTGTGTGTTTTAATTTGTGATCCCTGCAGTAAAAGCTGAAAAATTATTTTTGTTTCTCTTCTAGTCAGTTGTCTGCTGTTCATACCCTGTGCATACTGATAGCTACAAAAACAATCCTTCCCCCCAACTCTGAGTAATTGTGACTTTACATGTATAGTTAAAAAAAAAAAAACAGAAAACAAATCTGTTGTTAACTTCCAACTTCCACAATGAACTGTGGTAGACAAACACTGAAATAATCAAAATCATGTTTCTTCTTCTGAGGAATTTGCATACATGCATGCATGACTACACCCACACAATTTTATAGTATTTTAGTTGCATGGCTTTTGCAGCAGCACCAATTAACATTTATTTTTGTGGTACATTTGAGGGCAGCATTCTATCCTTGGCAATAAGCAATGCTGCTTTCTCTGAGTTTGACTTGTTAATACATCAGATGGTGTTTCAAGCTCTGGCTAACAGTCCACACTTACTCAGGGATGAAGTAAAGGTAACTAAATATATGAAAACAATGGATAACAAGTAGGAACAAGAACTACTGCATAGCAGAAGACTGTAAGTAAAAATTGTAAATAGCAAAAAACTGATAAGAAGTTGTAAAGACAGAAAAAAAATCACATCTGGCTGTTTGAGGACAACAGCAACTCTTTTTTGTACATACTAGGAGAAAAATATCAGGAATCACTGTAAAGGACGTGATAAATTTGTTGATAGTGAAAAAGAAAAGGCAGCACATTGAATAAATGTATATCTTGCATTTGTAGAAGTGATATATTCTTGTCACATGAGCATGACTCTCTACTTTGAAGTCTGTCATGACATATGGTCTGTAACATCCTCCTCACTTAAGATTAAAGTTTCAAATCAGTCAGGCTAAGCAAGTTGTGCTCAGGGATCTTGGTCTTCTGAGGCTAATTTTTAACACACCTTGCAAGAACAGGTTTTAGACAGCTGAAGGTTTATCTAGTAATATGAAAAGTGTAATGTTCAAATAAAATTAAGACAGGTAGTTTTATTGTTCTCCCTTGGAGAACATAAGGGAAAAAATATTACAGGATTCAGTTAATAAAAAATTGCATATTTGTTACATGATAATAAATACGGTTTTATGGAAAATTAGACTTTTAAAAACCATCTGATTTCCATTCTTCAGTGTGGTTCCAATTCTTAGTTGATAAAATGTTTGCGAAGATATGATAAACTTAGACTTTTCTATGGAGTTTGACATTTTGTCTCATGGTGTTTAATTTAAATACATCCCCATACTGTCTCTGTGGAAATGTTAAATAAATTAAAAATGGCTAACCAGAAATTTAAAAAAAATCCCACAAAATATCATCAATTTGGAATAGTAAATGAAACTGGTGTTTAATAACCTGAAAATAAATCTAAAACCATTGCTGCTATCATCAGCAAATGTTGCAAAAAATTTCCTGGGGCCATCCATCTGTGTTACCGTGCTTATGTCTACTGCTTGTAGAAAATACAGAAAATCTTCCAAAGCTAAAGTTATAAATCAAGGAAACAGTTTACACAAACTGGGTCTTCAGGACTGGAGATACTGTCCTGGGAAACAGCTTCAGGATCACAGAGGACTGAGGGAAAAGAAATAAGGGAGGTAGCTGTACTTCAGCATATGGCAATGCTGGAATATCATGTACAATTTGCTTTCTGTTGTAAAACTGGGTATTGATAAAAGTAGAGAGGGTGCTGAAAAGTATCAAAAACGTTAAGTGGTAGACAAGGAGGCTTTTAAGAAGGATTAAAAGAGCATAATGTATTTAGCTCAGCAAAAAGATGACTGAGATGAGTGGATAAAACCAAATGAGATTGTGAACAGTATCTTTATGCTTAATTCCATAAGATTTTCCTAGATTATACTTATGCTGTAGGTATAAAGTAATACATGTACAGTATCACATTGAAAGTTAATTTGTAATTTTTTTTGAAATGTAGCATAGATGTTTTTCCCCTCAAATGTTTTAATACCTGCAATGACTGTGATTGTTTACTACATTATTCCCATATTTTGAAAAGCATGGGTTAATGAATGGAAATGTTAATTCATGTGATGAATTCATATGACTTTTTAGAAACCAAATGATTATATTAATGTCTGTGATTCTTTCTGATTTAAAATTGACTTACTTATTGACCTACAGTAAACTCTACACAAAAGGTCCATGCCCAGCCTTGGAAAAACCTCTTAAAATACTTAACACAATAGAGATTGTTATATGTAGTCCTGTGTTTATTTTGCTTTGCTAAGTGTCAGAGACAAAATTCTTAGCCTAAGATGTATTTTACTAAGAACCACTTAATAATTCCCAAGAATAAGGCATCTGCCACCTAATTAAGTTGCAGTTATAATCAGATGTATATTTAATACCATCACTCCATTTTCTTATGTGAGTGTTGGAAAGGAAATACCCAACACCTAAGTGTACAGTGGCAGTATTCTAGTACTTAGTACACTGCCTAACTTATTCTTGAAAATACGAGTTCAGATTTAGTCAAAAAATTGAGCTTTTCATCAGCTTAATTCTTGTATTTTATTTCTAGCAACCAAACCATTTGTAAATAGTTTTGTTCATTGCTTTGGGGGCCTAAAGGCTTTGTCTTTACTTTGTAAGTAGATGAGGTTCTTCTAAATAGATTGTTGTGTGTGGTCTGATTTGTAAATTTGTACACTTGGGTATCAGAGCTTGTGTTCCCACTTTGCCACATATTTACTGGGGTATTTCCTGCAATAGTTTGAAAATATCATATTAGAATTTCTGTGATTTCTTTGATCTGTTTAGAAATATACATGTCTTTATATGTATTTAGCTGTGAAGCATGCTGTATTTTTCACCAAGACATTATTGGGTCTGAAGAAACCATTTTTTTAAACTTAGAGATTTTGCTGATTCTTACCAGACCAAGCATTTCACACTTCAGTAAAATATTTAAACTATCTTCTACTGCAATCTTGTTTTCAAAACTCACATATGAGTCTTGCAGAACTTCCTTGGATGTGGGAGCAGGTGTGGTATCGTTGCATCCTTGTTACATCTCACACAGGTGTTGCAGTGAACCATTTCCCTTCAGATGATGAACTCTTTGAACTTGCATCACACGTGCTTCAGTTCCCTAGTTAATTTGGAGTCTTCTGAGCACAACCTTATCCAAGTGCTTTGTCTATGCCTGCTGACAGAGTTAGCTTTCTACAAAAAATATGGTGCTATTTTATTTCTGGGCAGAACTTTGGTTTTCTGCCTAATATGACCACTGCTTTTAAAACTAAGAAACTTTACATGTGGCTGAAATTTGAAAATTATGAAGATAAGTGGAAAGCAGAGATTTTTCTTCTTGGAATAATTTTGTTACTGATGTGAAATTTACTGTCCAGTATTACATCTTGTTCTTTGTATATGTGTCAGATTTCAGATTCTCTTGTTTCAGTCCTTGTGTTTGAACTTTTCATGTGTGTTGCAGGCGATTCCAAATGCTACCAGGATGGTTATGCTGTGATATCCTGTAATGTTTTACATCTAAAGATACAGGCCCATAATAAAAAGGGTGCACAATTCAGAGTGGTATACATGCTTGTATTTCAGCAAATAGTTTTTGTAGAAACAAACAGATCACAAAGAATCTGTGATAAAATGTCTAAAGTAATTTTGGAATAAACCTCCCCCTCCCAAAAAAAAAAAAAAAAAGTGTCAGAGAGAATGAGAAGTCACAGACAAGGATTCAGTGGTGTGATAAAACTCTGGGGAAATGAAATTACAATAGTTTTGTTTTTATGTATCACAGCAGGGCTATTGATCTTATGCTGCTCCCGTGCAAAATTGAATCCTTAGCAAACATTCTTATGTACATTTTTAAAAGAAATTGCTTTTCAGTGTTCCTGCTATGTGCATTTGACTTTAAATCAAACACATATTTTTTCTTCTCCTAACTACAGCTAATCCATCAATTAAAGAAGACACTTTGGTTCTCAAGATTGGATCTGTCTCTATGGCTCCCCAGGCTGACAACCCTCTTAGTAGAGCTGTGCTCAGAAAAGACATTTATCAGTAAGTGTCGGGGGGGGGGGGGGTTTGGCTTTTCATATATGGTCTCAGAAAAATTCATTCTGGGAGAATTTAATTGATCAATAAAACGGGTACGTGCAGCCTGTAAAAATACTTTTCACATACAATCTTTTGATATTCAAACCCAGGTTTTTCTGATTTTCTTCACTTGTGGGCTTTCAAATCCATTTAGACAAATCAAGTTCTGCTGTGAAGTGCTGATGAATAACAGAATTTAAATGTCAAATCACTGTGAAGTTTAAACTCACAGATGAGAACATTTTAAGAGGCTTTTTTTATTCGGCTACTACTAAGTTCACCTTAGAGAAAAGGAAATTTTTTGTGACTTCCAAAGCGTTCAGTAGCCATATAGTGAGAAGGAGATAGATCTTAATAATATAAATGGTAGACAAATACTCAAACTGTAGGATTCTTGATGTCATGTAGATCAAAGCTTAAAGGAATGCAAACTTCTAAGGAGCTCTTTCCCAGTAAACACATTTTCTGTGAAAATGTCATGCTCTGGATTATGTCACTAAGTATGTGCAAACCACACTAATCATATATAGGCAGCAAAACTGGTGAACATATGTAATCAACATGATAAAAGTAATATATGATCCTTAGTAGAGTTGGCACTGTTGCCAGACATGAAAGTAGGGTTGCAAATAATACCAAGTGAGAAAAGTCACAGAAATACAGATGAACAAGTGTCTTATACTTCCCGTTGGTCTGGTTTTCAGATGTGGCAATATTTTTAACTACTTCATAGTGCTCTTCAATAGAAATTACAAACATCAAAATCTTTTCCCAGCAGTTAAACATTTACTGCCTAGGAAAATGACAGCAAGTTTTACTTTTGTCAAGACTAGGATTTTTAGGAGACCATGAAATATCTCCAATTTCACTTCTGATCACTTAGAAGTTGTAAGAGAGTCTTTTTCTTCATATTTCCATGTGGAAACATTTAAATTAATGGCTTTGCTTGTATGTTTGGTTATAATAGTTTATCTTTTTTTTTTTTTTCCCTTTTGTTTTTTAATGAGCATTATATCTTTTGTATGCTGGAGCTTTTATGGAAGAAGTCTTACAGCCTAGCACTAGCATTGGCTTTGGGTGGCAGGACCTGATCCAGCTCTCCATGTGCTCATAGATAAAGGAGATCTTCCAGATAATTGTACAGGCTCTTCCTGCTTCTACCCTTTCTGTCTGAGACTCCCATCTGATACCTGCTTCAAGAGTCAGAGACCCAAATGTAGGTTCCACTCTCCTCACAGCAACAAAACCTTTATCAGAAAAATGCCTGATGGTAAAGTGGAATCTGCAATTGCCAGTTTCTGTAAGGTCGTTTCAGTCACTGCAGGGGAACTGTGTGATGTTCCTTGTATGCACATTACAAACCAGTGAGTAAACAACTCATTTACATCTAAAATCAATGAAGCCATGCTAGTTAACATTTTTGAGTCTGTATCTTTGCCCATGTGGCTTTACCTGAAATGCTGAAATTCAGTGTTTTTCAAATCGCACCTTTACTTAAAGACTCTGATGATATTTTGCATTATGGTCCTGTGGGTCTTATATACATAAAGTATATATATGTTCCAGACAAGATTTATGCAGTGCATATTTGGTTTTCATAGTTTTAATGCAATTACAATATGCTCCGGTCCTCCTTTATAAATCATGAAACCCAGTGAGTAAGGCAGAAATTAAGCACTGGGTCAGAGACATCCCTCATCTGACTGCTGTTGGCATTTTGTGACCAGTCTCCCAAAGGACATGCTTCCTATGTCTTTTTCTCAGTTTTCTGACATTTTAAGTGATTTCCTCAGCTTCAATGACCACTCCCCTAATTTCTTATCACCTGTCCAATTATTTGGCCTTCTCTTTCCTTCTTTAATCATCCAATTATACTGGCTTTACTGTTTCTAAGATGTATCAAAGCAGAGCATCGAGTTACTCTGTAGGGTTTTATAGGACAGTATTGAAGTTGGTAGTTGGTTATCTTTTGGTTTTGGTTTTGGAATTTGGTTTTAATCTGTTTAAGCAAGTTTCAAGGTTTTCAAAGAATGAAAATTAATACTTTCTAAATTAAAAATATTAAGATTCCTTTTTGGGGTTGAATTAGATCCATTTTCTTACTACAAATTCTTTGATCTAGAGCAAAGTGTACTTACAGAAACATGGTTGGAGATATATCTCCATTGTCTTACATGACAGTCACTGCTGTTAGACTGGAGTTCTAAGTGAAGTTAATTTCACCATTTTTCAATTGTTTTTTAAATAAAATAATACAAAGGGTTTTGTAATATTGAGCAGGACATACAGTCTGTATACAAGGAAAAAACACAAAACAGTGGGGTATATTAATATATGATGTTTGGTCTAGTGTTAGTATTTGTTTCTCCAAATATGAGAGTTCTTCTTACAAAGTATTTGCCTTTTTTTAACATGCCCATGGTACATGGTACTAGATGAAAAACCTGGAGCTAATACAGAATGCTTAAAAATTGAGTAGTAAAATGAGCAAATCCACACAATGTGTAGCTCATCTACCTAGGTGAAAGATTTCTTAGTAAATATTAACAGAAATACAACTAGTACCATATCCAGTGTAAGAGACTTTAGAAATATAAATTACAGAAGCCTGTAGGTTACTGAAGAATTAGCATCTAGAGTATTCTAATACCACCATGTCATCTTCTGTCTTTTTCCAACCTCTCTTCTCTAATTTGATGCTGCTGCTTTTAATAGAATAAAAGAAAATAAATTGTTGTCTGAACCACTGTCTTTACAGTGTTTCTGGAGTGGGGATACAAACTTAATTTGTGGTGTCACTTTGCTTTAAACAGTCTTCTGTTTAGGCCTAAGCTACAACCACATGCAATTAGTGTCACTTTTGTAGTGCTTCATGAGAAAGAATTTTTGCTTCTCATTTAGAAACTGTTCTTTTAGGAAAGGCTGAGAAACATTTTCAAAGCTAGGGGCTGAATAGTATTTCCAAACATCTTTTGAATTTGTCCCATAAATTTATACATGAAAAGCTGAATGTACTCATATGTCATTAGTAGCATGCCAGTGCATGAAAGGTAGGTTTGCTACGGCTGCAGGTCATACTGAATAAACGAGACAACTTTTGGCCTGTAGGCTGAAGTGACTCCATCTATTATGTCTTAGGAAAAAGGGCTTACATGCTAACTTGAGGAGAGAACCAAACTGAAAAGGGAATGTTGGAAAAACAATGTTCCTCAAGTATTTGGACACAAATACAGTTTCAGGTGATTATTGGAAGTTGGAAAGAAATGTATTGACATTGTAACTTAATTTTCCTATACCGTGGAAAGATTAGAGTATTCCCTCCAGTTAAAAATGGACTCATTTGGTCTTGATATTAATATGTAGTAAAGAAAGATACATGCATCAGAACCACAAATTTAGGGCTCCTGAAAGAAGTATGTCACCATTTCTCACTGGTGACAGTAAGAGACAATGTCTCTTTTTTTGATTGTTTTTTTCTGCTCAATTGTAGGAGTCGGTTTGTTGGTTTTAATGATTTTTCATGATTCTCTGATTCTTAAACTTCAGCTCCAGCTGTATTTGTGTTCCACAAATATTACCAGAACTGTACATTGTCATCAAGAAACTACCAGTTCTGTTGATTGGAAAATTATCAGAAGGCCTTGGGATGGGGTCAGAGAGCAGAATAAAGGAGGTTTTGGATAAGAATGCAAGGCAGTTGCCTAACCTGGCTAAAGGGAGGGAAGATCACTTAATTGAGACTGTGAAGGAGTCAGTCAGAGTAAATGAAGTTTCTGCTAAACAACGAAGGAGAGAACTATATTTTTGTGGGCTTTAACTACTGATGAACTTTTAATGAATTTTTAAGAAGTGTGTATGTTGGGGGTATGAACAGTGAATAGCAATAGTTGTGCTAAGCTACCAGCAGAACTGCATATTATCAATAGGAAAATGATTGAGAATACTTCATCACAAGACCCAGAATTCTGGTTCACTGACTGAAAAAATAAGAGGAAATGGATGCATGGATATGCTTAAAAATGAAGCTAAAGTTGAGATGACGTTTAGTTCTACTTCTGTATTGGGCCATGTAACACCAAATACTGTGCAAATGCTCTGATTGATTAAATAGGTAACTGCTGATCATCCCCAACAGGGTTCTGTTTAGCAAACTGTCATGAAACAATGGAGTTTAAGGGAGTATCCATGAACAGATAGAGTAAAATAATGTTAAAATACTGTTAATGCAGAAATGAAATTGCTGACAAAGAGCTCAGAAAATAGAAGCTGTTTGGAGGCTGTTGTGTAAAGGTCTTACTTATAAAGTCAGGAATAATGCTGCCAAACTATCAAGTTCTAGGAGTTTAGGTAAGCAGAATCTCAAGCTTTCCTCAGCTTGGCCAATAAAGAACCTAACTGTTGTCCACGCTCGGGATTCATCATTTTTGAGATCCAAGGATTTCATTCATGTCATATATCAAAGCTTAATAGTCCAGGTCTGAGTGTTCTATGGTCATTTTCATGTGTAGATGTTTCACAGATCAAAGCCTAAAGCTGTCCCTAGACTGTTTCCAATTTGTGAATGTAAATGGAAATTCTTTAGACATGCCTCTCCCGGCAAAAATATTACATGCAAAGAGCTTACTCATGAAAAGGTAGCTGCAGATTTTATTATTTTTTCCATTGAACTTTTTATTAATACAAGCCTTTTCTTATTATAATTTTTTCATTTTTGTTGTTTACTGTTTTTCACTGTTTAACCCTCAAACATTTGCAAATAGAAACACAAAGCTATTTTCCTTATAGAATAGCTGCTATTTATTTCAAGGAGCTCCATACAGAACATCCTTGTAATAATCATGTAAAGCCCATAATTGGTTAACAAAAATCTGTCAGTGAAATAAGGAGTAATAAACAATTTTCTGTGTCCGTACTGATAGTGCTGGAGTGAAAGGAAGGAAAAAATGATTCAAGGAATTTATGAA